TTTTTGGTAAATAAACTTCATCTTTCAGAGCAGTTTTAGGTTCACTGCAAAATTGAGAAATAATCCTAATTTTTCTGTCCCTCTGTCATTTCTGTTATTCATTTTAAATATGCAAAAGCATACATAGTTGAATGCATTGTTACTCTTATTATTTTGAACAAACTGTTATCTGTTATATCAATTTAAAATTTTTAAAAATGTATTTTTGAGGTAAAATATATTTTACCTTATTTGTTCTCCAGTACTCTGGAGATCCAAATTTCTGTCCTTTATCATTTTCCTCCTCTTAAGATCTTTATTTTTCATTTTCAATTTTTTAATATTTGTAACACTATATTATACTTTAGTATAGTGAAGAATTCTTTAATGTTTTTCACAAGACTAGCTGTCTAGCTGCCAAATCTTAATTTTGCTTGTCTGAGAAAATCTCTATTTCTCCTTCACTTTTGAAAGATAATTTTGCTGTATACAGAATTCTAGATTGGTAGTTATTTTTTCCTCCCAGCACTTTAAATGTTTCACTCTACTCTCTTCTTACTTGTGTGGTGTCTGAGGAGAAGTCAGATGTAATTATCTTTGCTCCAGTATAGTTACAGTTCTCTGACTTCTTTCAAGATTTTTTTAACTTTCATCCTTGTACTTTGAATAAGATATACATAGGTATAGTTCTTTATCCTGCTTGGTATGCGCTGAGTTTCCTAGACCTGTAGTCTGGTGTCTGACATTAATTTGGGGAAATTCTCAGTAATTATTGCTTCAAATATATCTTTGTTCCTTCTCCTTCTTCTTCAGGTATTCCCACTTTATAAATGTTCTACTTTTTGTAGTTGTCCACATTTCTTAGATATTCTCTTCTTTTTTTTCCTAGTCTTTTTTCTTTTTCCTTTTCAATATTGAAGAGGTTCCCTCCACCCCCCCCCAACTGTATCCAGTCTAGTAATGAATACACCAAAGATAATCTTTCTGTTACTGTGTTTTTGATGTCTAGCTTTTCTTTTTAATTATTTCTTAGAATTCTCATTCTCTGTTTATATTATTCATCTGTTCTCACATGTTGTCTGTTTTATCCATTAAACGTCTTAGCCTATCTATCATGGTTTGTTTGTTTTTTTTTTAAGTTCCTCATCTGATAATTCCTGACATGTCTAATACTTGTTCTAATGCTTGTTCAGTCTCTCAAAACTACTTTTCCAACTTTTGGTAGGCCTTGTAAATATTTGTTAAGAGGTAGCTCTACAAGGAACAGTGATAAATAAATCTTAGTGATGGGGTGTAAGGTATGTGGGGAGAAAGTATTCTATAAACCTATAATTCTGTCTTAGTCTTTTAGTGAGCCTGTGCTTCTGGACTGTGAACATCACTATTGCTTCTGTGTTTTTGTTTGTTGTTTTGCCCAGGATGTCTGTAAAGGGCATCCTGGTACAGGGTGGCTCTAAAGGGCATAAGTTGGCTAGGGACTAACCTAACCCCGCTTAGGTTAGACTCTGATAAAACCCAGTTAATTCATTAAACTCTGGTAAAATAGCTTCTCCTGAGGGCAGGCCTTGTTGAGAAAAACAGACTATTCTAGCATATTTCAAAATGGTTTCTATCCTGTCCTGCCAGAAGCAGTTGGACATTTTGTGCATTATTCATTGTAAGAGCCTGGAGGTAAGACTCATGATAAGACTCAACATTATGACTTGGTCCCTCTGGACTTCTTAATTCTCAAACTTGTCTATCCTGAGCCTCCAGCAATTCATCAGTTTCAGTTTAGTTTTCCTGTTCTGGTGCTGGTTCCTGGAGCGGTTTCTGTTGGTAGTTTTTTGGTTTGAGGAGTTTTGATTCTCTAATGCCTACCTGTCTTCCAGTTTAGAGGTAAGCAGTTTGTTCTGTGATCTTACCTCTGTCACAGATCAAAGAAGAGTCTGTTTTTCAGTTCAGCTTTTTACCTGTTAGGACAGAGTGATGACTTGTAAGCAACTTGTATGCTGAACTGGAAACTAGAACTTGGAAATATTTTATTCCTGTTTTTATTTGCCAGTTTCAAATGTGGGATGATAACTAGGATAGAGTGGAAAGGAGATCATCCATAATACTGCTCACAGAGACAACCAGTGTTCCTTTGACATCTTTCTACCCTTTTCATCATACAAATGAAATTATACAATTTTATTATGATAAGATCCTCAAACTGAACTAAAAGTATCTAAAACTGTACTAAGTATCTCTTTCCCTAAACTATTTTTGTCTTATTGAATCATCTCTCATCTATTCCCCCCTCGCCAAACAGGAACCTGGAAATTGTCTTTCTCTTCCCACACATCCGTTCAAGACCCCAAATCATGGCAGTTCTAAATATTTCTTTCTAAATATCTTTGCTGGTCTCATCCTCTTTTTTTTATTAACCACTTCTCTGGTCAGAGCATTGACTGATTTTTCCCCCTTGAACTCCCGGAACCTCTCTCTAGCCCAATTAGGTGGTACACTTGACTTCCTTGCTTACATCCCTTCAAACCTTTCAATGACTCCTTGTTGTTTTTACTATAAAATCCTGGCTCCTAATCATGCCTGTAGATCTCTCTGCCTGCCTTTCTCCAGATTCATCTCCTGATGCTCCCTATCCCTTGTTTTATGTTCCAGTATCACTGAACTCCTTACAATTCCACCTCCTAATCCTCTTCCTTGCCATTGTGTGCTGCTTTCTTCTCTGTGTGCCTTGTCAGGACTTCCCTGTTTGGAGTAACTTTCCCCCCCACTCTACCTCATCAGTACGTACCTACTCATTAAGACAGGCCAGATATTAGCTCCTCCTCAAGCCTAACTCCTAGACACCCTGGACCCCACACTGGTTTCTATATGCAAATGTATCATTGTACTTCTCTCCATTTATTCATTCAATCAACTAACCAATAGTAGGTAGAATTTTAAGTACTGGAACACAGATGATTTTTTTTTAAAGATTTGTTTATTCATATAAGAACTGTGGTACAGACCAGTGGCGTGGGGGGTGAAAGGACTCACCAGAGACAGAGCGGGGAGCAGAACAGGCAGACTGAGTGAAACACACTGCTGAGGGGAGCAGCGGTCGAGTCAGGAGAGGTCTCCCCGCCATGTGGATTCCTCCCCGGCTAGGGATCGAACTTGTGCTGCAGTGGCTGCAGGCTAGCTTCATAGGTTGCGTCTTAACCTCTTGCGCCACCAAGGAGGCCCCTGGAATACAGATGATTTAAAAAAAAAATTCCTTCTCTAGTGGAAGGATGAAGGAAGCTACATAATGAACAAGTGAATATATAGTACTCAAGTAGTGATAAATACTATAATGGAAGATAATGTAGAGGAAGAAGAATGTGATGTTCTGAGGCTGGGGAGGAGGTGGTAGTTTAAAGAATGTGGTCAGGGAAGGCTCGTGATCACGTGGCCTTTGAGCAGAGGGACCTGATGGTAGTGAGAGCAAGCCCTGCCCATCTGTGAGGACACCTGGAGGAGGAGCCTGCCAGTATATTGAAGGATCAGCAAGAAAGGCAGTGGCTTAGAGCCAAGTGGGTGAGGGAAAATTGGTAGAAGAGGTTAGAGAGCTGATGATCACCAGGTCATTATAAGAAATTAGGCATTTACTCTGAGACTGGAAACCATGGAGGTTTCTCTGCCAAGTGACAAAATCTGGCTGTGTGTGAAAAGAGCAGTCTGACTACTGACTAAGTAGGGCCAGGATAGTACTTTTTTTATTTTAAAGATTTATTTTTTATTTATACAAGAGCTGGGGTACAGGCCAGATGCGCGGAAGGGTGAGAGGATACACCAGAGACCGAGTGGGGAGCACAACAGGCAGACAGACCGAAAGCACCACTGAGGGGAGCAGCGGGCACGACAGGAGAGGTCTGCTGCGCCATGTGGGAATCTAACCCTCACTGCAGAGGCTGCAGACAGCTTCACAGCACAGTGCTCAACCCACTGCGCCACCAGGGAGGCCACCGGGATAGTACTTAGACAGCAGTTACAAGTTAGGAGATTGTTGCAGTAATCCACATAAAATGTGTTGTGGCTTGAACTGTCCAGAGAAGAATCAGTGCAGGTTAAAAAGTATTGAATCTGGATGTGTTTTGAAGGTAGAGCCAACAAGATTTATAAAGGATTGAATAAAGTGTATGAAAAAAAGACAGGACTCAAGGATGAGTTCTTGGTTCTTAGTCTGAACTAGAACAGAATTGCTGTGAAGTGGGGGAGATGGCAGGAGAGTGGTGGATATAAGTTTATGGAAACTGTCAGGGCTCTACTCAGAGATGCTGAGCACATAGTTGGAGGTCTGAGCTGGAGATACAACTCTGCAAGCTGCCAGCATTAGATGAGATTTCAGATGACGTTTCAGATGAGAGAAGGTGAGAAGTGAGAAAGCGTGAGCTCTGGCGCCCTCACTCCACAGTACAGAGGCCAGAGCGATGAAGAGGACCCAACCAAGACCCCTGAGGAGGCACGGCCAGTAAGGTGGGAGGAGAATCAAGGAGCACAGGGCCAAGTGGGAAATAAGTTTTAAGACGACTCAAGTGCAGGATTGTAGATAGATTGCGTTAGATGAGGACGTTCTATCTTAAGTCTCTGTTTATCTGTGTTTTCCTTTAGTTGGCTGAGAACTTATTTGGAGCCAGAACAGCATACAGTGGTGTAGCTACAACTTTGAAGCCAGTATAAATTATAGGCATACCATGAAGTGGCTGTTTTTGCTGAGACTGGTTCTCTCAGTCCCTCTGAGTCTCACCTGGAAGATGGGGAAGATATAGTGTCTTTTCCATTGAGTAGCTGTGAGGATCAAATGAGATCATCCAGATGAAGCACTGGATGGTTGCATGTGTTCGTGTAATTAAACACATGATCATTTTTATAATTAGTTGTTAATTTATGCACCTGACACAATGCCCTGTTGAGTGGCATTCATTGAGTGAATGAGTGAATTGCCTTTGTGAACTGCCAGGTGTTTCCTTGTGTGCTCGTTGAGTATTGACATCGTATTTGGGTTTCCCTAGGATCTAGTGTTCTGGAAGACAAGAAGAGGACTAATCTTCGGGGCAGAGCTGATGCAATGGAGCTCCCCAACTACAGCCGGCAACTACTGCAGCAGCTCTATACGCTGTGCAAGGAGCAGCAGTTCTGTGACTGCACCATCTCCATTGGCACCATCTACTTCAGGGCCCACAAACTTGTCCTGGCTGCTGCCAGCCTCCTGTTCAAAACCCTGCTGGACAACACAGACACCATCTCCATCGATGCATCTGTGGTGAGCCCCGAGGAGTTTGCGCTCTTGTTAGAAATGATGTACACTGGCAAACTACCTGTGGGCAAGCACAACTTCTCCAAAATTATCTCTTTGGCTGACAGCCTACAGATGTTTGATGTGGCTGTTAGTTGTAAAACTCTTCTGACCAGCCTTGTAAACTGCTCTGTTCAGGGTCAGGTGGTGAGGGATGTCTCCATGCCATCCTCAGAATCATTCAGGAAGAAATCAGAGAAGCCTGAAGTAGAAACCCTTCCCGTTGTGGGGGCAGGAGCGCCTCATTCATCCTTTGAGGTTCCTGTCCCTCCGGTGGTTCCTGTGAAAGCTGAGGCTGAGGAACCCATCCCTACTGTTGCACAGGAGATGAGTGTGGGTCCTTCTACTGCCCAGGAGATTCGGGGCAGTGTGGACATGCCAGTGGAGACCCCTCATTCATCTGAAGTTTGTGTCCCCTCCCCTGTTGTGCAAACTTGTAATGAGGCACAGGAGGCAAACACAGAACCAGGTAATGTTTGTTTCATACTTGCTTTGTAATCTCTCCTTCTGTTGTCAGTTACTAGTTTCAGTGATCTTTATGACTCTTGGTTTGTTTCACTGATAAATTCACCAAAGACCACTTGCAATAGCAAGCCAGAATCCAGTGCAGTACTCCTGCTGGGTACACTTGTTATAAACATTTCTGTGCTTTTACATGTTGAAGGCTGGAGATGAATTACAGAGCAGAAAAGCAGTACTGAAATAATGATGTACCATTGTTGATACTTACCCATTACTTTCACCAGGATGAGGATTGCACAGAAGAGGAAGACATCACAGACACTATTGTCATTACTTGTAACTGATGTATCGATATTAGTTACATCCAGTATGTGACCTAGAGCCTCTCCGACAGCTTGACTTTTTAAAAATCCTTTCATTTTTGTTTTGTTTTGTATTCAGAGCATGAGAGGAAATGCTGCCAGCTGAATTTTCTTCTAGAAAATGAAGATATCTTCTCCAGTGCTCTCTTGAGCACCCAGGATGTTTTAAAAAGACTAGAAGAATGTTCAGAAATTAAAGGTGCACAGAAGGAGGTGGGTATCCTTTCATTTTTTGCTGGTTTAGTGTTCTCAGGCTATGGTGTCAGCTTCCCAGACAGGGCAGAAATGTGGAAATACCCCAGGATCTCAATTTTTTCTAACTAATTTTATTTTTGACATTTATGCCCCCACAAGACAGTCTTACAAAAGTACAAGGCAAGATGCTTTCAAAAGGATGTTATATTTGATCACCAAATGAATACTTAACTGATCAAAATGAGACAGAAGGTAGTTGTTGTGGATAACTCCAAATCAAATACTAGAAACAAAACAGCAAATACTGAAAGCAAGGTACCAAATGCATTTAATACAAACTGCCATGGTAGGTTAAGTCTGGCATTTCAGCATCATAGATGTTTTCAGACATAAAAATAATACTGGTGAACATTTATTGAGTCCTCATTCTGCTAGACTTGCTACTTATGTTATCTCACTTAATCCTCACAGAACTCGACGTGGATACAATTTTACTATGTTCAGCCTGGTTTATCAATGAGAAAGAGGTGATGTAACTTGGCCAAGGTTGCAGAGCTCTAAGACTCCCAGCAAGAACTCAAACAGGCATTCTGACTTGAGAGCTGTTCTCTGACGCACTGAGTTAAACTGTCTCCCAGCAGGGTAAAAATGATACATGCATGACCTGTGTGTATAAACCTGATGAAAAATCACTGGACGATTGTCATGCTGTATTTCTCAGCTGACCTTTTTTCAGTATCTCAGTGAGGCTTATTCCCACCTAGGGGCTCCCTCACACCAGATCCTGCAGTACTGTCTCCACCGCTACTTTAGTAGAACTCTCCTTGCTTCCCCTTCCTCCCAGCCATGTCTCCTGTTCAGCGAGCCTGCTGGGATAGTGGGGGGCACTGCCCTGCAGCCTTGCTCTTCTGGTCAGCGGGGCCGGGTGGCCTATCTCCACTGTCGCTGAAGGCAGTTTCATGTCTATTCATACTGCTGACCCACACGGTAAATGGCTTTTAACGTTTCAGTGTTTCTCTTATTCACAGCAAGTTACTTTTATAAAAAACTAAATTCAAGGTATTTATTTTAACCACAGTTACTCTCAATTGGCTATTAACTGTTGTCTTGGGAGATGAGCTATATGCAAGGCTGGGTTAACCCTGATGACTCTCTTAGGGAGGTTTCAAATTTTTAATCTGGTACAGTAAGTACTCACCTAACATTGTCATTGATAGGTTCTTGGAAACTACAACTTTAAGCAAAAGGACATGTAATGAAACCGCTTTTACCATATACTGATATAAGCAAGCATTAAGTTCCTAGAGCATACTTCTGCTTAAAGAAAAGCAAACCCACACAGACCTGGGAGAATGTGCAGACACTGTATGGACAGTGAATTGACTCTGTAGCAGAAAGGGTATTCGAGGGCCTGCTGTACCATTTGTACTGATTATGCTGAAAGATGAGTGGTTTTACATTTTTGCACTTGGGTGTCCTCTAAACTGTTTAGTCCGTCACTTTTAGTTTCTAGTTATCTTGATAGCCCATAGATGTACCTCTTCATTTTCTCTTAGGACTTGCTTTCCACTTGACTTTGGTCATAGAGCTACGCCACTGGACCTTAGGCCAGCGGTACTTAAGTGATTCCTGCCACGTCTGTCCTTACTTAAACTGTATCTTACTCATGTTTTTTTCCTAACATTGGTACCTAAAAGTGTCAAGCACATAATAGGTGCTCAAGATATGTTTGCTGTACATGGACTCATTCAACATTTATTTTATTTTCCCCAGTTCTTGTCCTAATCTTTTGATGGCAGTAACATTAATACTACTTTGAAAGAACATTGATTCACTCTTGGTGGTCATTTGAGGCTTATGTTATTTCTTCCTCAGTTTCAGAGGTCAGAGTATAAGACCTCTACAAATTACTCGGTGGCTGTTATATTCCATAATAAATCTTTCCAGCTGCAGAAAGAAAAGAGGAAAAGATCCTTTAAGAACTTAAGAATGCATTCAACAAAACTGAGTTAGGGAGGCACCACTGTGTGCTGAGGTCCTGCACTGTCTTTCTTTTAGACAGTTTTATTGAGGTATGATTGACGTACAGTAGACTGTACATATTTAAAGTGTACAGCTTGATGAGTTTTGAAACCTGAAGCTGTCACTACAATCAAGATAGTGAACATATCCATCACCTCTAGAAGTTTTTTGTGTCCCTTTGTAGTCCCTCCCTCCTATCCCTTTCTGCTCTTTCATCCCCAGGTAATGGTGATCTGCTTTCTGTCTTCGTAGATTAATTTGCATTTTCTAGAGTATTACATAAATGGAACCACAGAGTGCATATTCTTTTGGGCCTGGCTTGTTTCACTCAGCATAACTGCACTTCCTCCATGTCGTGACATGCTGACCCTGATTTATTGCTGAGCAATGCCCCGTCATATGAGATACAATTTATTTGTCCAGCTCTACCGTTTACTGGCACTGTGACCTGGAACAACTTAATCTCTGTAAACCTTATTTGTAAAACAGGAATGTTATGACCTGTATCAAAGAGGCACTGTGAAATTATTAAGATTATTTATGTAAACCTCATAGTAAAATGCCAGGCACATAGAAGGAGCTCAGTAGATAGCAACTGCTATTGCTTATACATTAACTTGGTATTTTTAGACTTGACCTTGAAACCCCTTTTGCACTTAATGCCTTATAATATCCTCATGCCATGGCCATTTACTCTGACACATGAGGTGGTTTGCTGTTACATTAAGCTTCATTTGGAAGTCAGGCTTTCCAATAAGGTACCACTACCCATTTGGAATGACCTTCCTAAATTGCAGGTGTAGTGTCCTGTACAAAGCCATCAGTCTCTAGAAGAGCGTTCAGTGTATGTGAAGTCATCTGGGGCACTTGTTAAATATACACCGCTTTTCCAGAGCGTTTGATTCTTAGGTTGTGGCAGAGCTTGGGAATCTCTGTCTTTAACTAGTTCCCCATGAGCTGCTGTTTTGGTACCTGTACATCATATTTGGGAAGTCCTACTGGAGAAGTCAATGGCTTATGACATTCCTAGTGTAAGATGGCAGATGTCCTATGTCTGTGCTGACACTTGTCAGTGTTCTGAGGCACCACAGATAGGCATTTTTCCAAGTGTTACTCTTTGCTTACCCTTCATTTCTACAAGTGCTGACTGAGCAAGTGGCATGTGCCAGTCATTGAACTGGTTGCTAGGAAAATAAACATAAATAAGCCTGTTCCCTGTCCTCACAGAGGCTCTTACAGTGAGGAAATCCTGCCACATGTGTATTGTTTTAGGGGAAGTATGCACAGGAGTCACCAATTACAGAAATCACCAAAAGGCCTCAGTATTGAGAGCACTTAAGAGCTGTTCACTTGGAACATCATTCTACATTTCACTGCAATTGTTAAGATTACTTTTGGGTTTGGGTTTTCATTTATACATTTTTAGCTCGCAAAGAGCTTTGAATGTTGTTGGTTGTCACTATTTGGTTGAGCATAACATACCTGAAACAGTTTAACATTAAAATAATCTATCTTAGAGGTGTGGTTTTGAGGCTGCAAATGATATCCTGGTTGAGGCGGACCCCGTCTGTTCCTTTTCTGAAATACAGATAACGATATGGGGTGTGCATCTGGCCTGGACTGAGTTTAGGGAGGACACCGTGAACCTGTGTCCCGGCTATTTTATTTCCTGAGATAAATGATGAAAGGTGGCAAAGCCATTCCCCGAGCAGTGATTGCAACAGCACGAGGAGAAGCTGGCCTGCTTGAATTGTGTGAAATCAAAGCCAGAACTGATTAAGGAGAAACCTCTTGGGACCTGGGATGGGAAAGTGTCTTCTGCCCGTCTTTATCTCAGCGCTTACCTGCAGCCCGGTAGAAAAAGCAGATGCTGACCGCAGAGGCATTCTGGCTGAGCTGAGTAAACCTTTATTTAAGGGTCGACTGATACTTTTCTCAGCTCTTATAGTAGAACTTTAAATTTTAGTCTCCTTTCTTTATTCCTACGCATGTACCTGCTTTTTATTGTGTATATGACAAGGTGAGTCTTTCTTTGACTAGAATAAGGAGATAAGTTTTTCTCCTATCAATTTCTTTGCCATTTGTTTCACTTTTCACCTAAAATTCCAGAAAAAATCCCAAAGCTGAAGACCTAGTAGCATTTTTTTCGCCTTCAACTTTCATTTCAAAGGCAAGCAGTGGAGGTATGTCAAGAAGTACAGGTCTATGTTTTGAGGACTGTTCACTGACAGGGTACGGGAACCCTTTTGAGAAGTGAGTTATGAGGCTTCAGTTTATTTTATTTCCTGAGATAAATGATGATAGCGCATGAAAATATGTTCTTTTTCTATCTCATCTCTGCTAATTACTAAGTCTAATAAGTAGAAGGACTAGTGGTTTATGGCAAGGGTATTTCATTCAGTCAGACAGTTACTAACTGTGAGAGACTAAGGAGTGAAACAAATACTCTAGCTACTACCCAATGTTGATAGTGATGTTGGTTCTAGTAAATCCAGTGTAAATGGAATTTGATTTATATTGTAAATGGATTTGATTACACTCAACCTCCGGGCGTTGGCACTGGCGAGAGGGTGGAAGGAGCTCAGTGTTTTGTCACTAGCCCGTGACCCTGGCACGTTCCTTCACTGCACTGGTTCCATTTAATGTCTCCCAGGACTGACGTGAGGAGAAGGGTAGGTGGTGCATAGACACAGTGTCTTGGCCAGTGCTGGACTGTTATGGTCTATCTCAGTGCCCACCTCTGGCCCCCTGCACTCAGAGGAAGCATAATCAGACAAGAATACAATGTAACCCAAATGAATATGAAGGCAGTAGGCAAACAGTTAGGGAAATAAGTAAATTCATTGAAAATATGTGGGTAGAAGGGAAAGATTGAATGGTTATTTTTATTTTTTTATTTTTTACATCATTGTTCATTTTTAAACAATATTTGCTTCTCTCCACCCACTCAGGTGTAGTCCCCATAGAGTGTCCTTCACCCGTGCATCATCACCTCAGTCCCCTGTGCTTCTCCCTCCCTCCCTCTGATCCCTCTCCCTCCTCCTCCCCTGCAGTATGTCTGTGATTTATAATTGTCCGTTTTTGCTTTGTTGTGTTTTGTACTGTTACTATTTTTTTTACAGTCATGTCTTATTTGGTTCCCCTATATTCCTGCTATAAGTGAAACCATCCAATATTTTTCTTTTTCCTTCTGGCTTATTTCACTGAGCATAATTCCTTCTAGCTCCATCCACATTGCTGTGAATGGCATGAGTTTTATCTTTTTGATTGCTGAATAATATTCCGTTGTGTATATATGCCACATCTTCTTGATCCAGTCATCTATTTTCGGGCATTTGGGTTGTTTCCAGGTTTTACCTATTGTAAATAGTGCTGCAGTAAACATAGGGGTACAGGTGTTCTTTTGAATCAATGTGTCCTTTGGGTAGATCCCTAGGAGTGGAATTGCTGGGTCATATGGAAGCTCCATTTTTAGTAAATTGAGGAACCTCCAGACAGCTTTCCATAGTGGTTGAACCAGTTTGCACTCCCACCAGCAATGTAGGAGAGTTCCTTTTTCACCACATCCTCGCCAACATTTGTTGTTGATTGTTTTTTTGATATGTGCCATCCTTACTGGTGTAGGGTAGTTTTGATTTGCATTTGCATCGATGTGGTTTTGATTTGCATTTCCCTGATTATAAGGAACGTTGAACATTTTTCATATGCCTGTTGGCCATTTGCATTTCCTCTTTGGAGAAATGTCTTTTAAGTTCTTCTACCCATTTCTTGACTGGATTGTTTGTTTTGCTTTTGTTGAGTCGTGTGAGTTCTTTGTATATCTTTGTGATCAGTCCCTTATCAGTTGAATGGAGTACAAAGATTTTTTCCCAGTCAGTGGGGTGAATGGTTTTTAATCCACATGTAATAAAGGGAGAAAAGCTCCTATCTGTAAACATATTAGCCTGTATTTCACTCATAGATAAAAGTACTTACTTGTGTGACCAGGAATTGATATGATTCACTGAAGCATCTTTAAGAACTGATGGAGTTACAAATGTCTAGCTATAGAAGATTACTCTGGCTTAGGGCCTCTCTTAGACTTCTCTTCTATGTAGCGGGGGAACGCCAGCCAATATGCACCCTTCTGTTGAGGAGAGGCAGATCCACTATTTCAGACACAGTGGAGGCCCGGGCAGCTTTGGGGCTGATGGAATAACAGTCACTGTACTGCTCTGGTGCAGGTCCCTAGTAGGTTCTGGAAGAAAGAGCAGAGAGGGGGCTTTCAGGCAGCTGACTGCTCACTCCTGGCCGTTTCATCAGCCCACCCCTGCTTCTCTTCCCAGATGGTCACCCTAAGTCACCGCTGAGCAGCGAAGTTAACAAATGTTTTAATTTCACTGCTGAGCAGTTCTGCAGAGAGGGAGACAGCAGAGAAGATAATGAGAAGTGCGTCAGATGCCACCATTGATGAGAACTCCTCTTCCCCACTGGCTCAAGTGATAATGCCGGATAAATTGGAAACCAAGAGGTGGATTTGGGATAGTCAGAGCCTGGAGTGCACAAAAACCGACCTAGGATAGAATGAGATAGCTATATCCTGTATCAATTAAAATGCACAGAAGAAAGGAAGAAAGAAAAGGGAAAATAAAGAGGAAGAAACATGTTTGTTAAGGGCATTAGCAGTGAACTGGTCTGCATTAGTTATTTATTGCTGTGTAGCAATTTACTCCAAAATTTAGTCTCTTAAAAGAAACATTTGTCACCCCCATGGTTTCTGGGGGTCAGAAGTCCAGGCATGGCTTAGTTGAGTCGCTGGCTCGGGATCCCTTGCAGGGCTGCAGACATCTGGAGGCTCAGCTGGGGAAGTGTCTTTTCTAAGCTCGCTCACATGACTGTTGGCAGGCTTCAGAAGATCTTTGTCCAAGCTCACTGACTGTTGGCCAGAGACATTAGTTCTTTGCCACGTGGACCTCTCTGTAGGGCATTTCACAACATGGCAGCCTACATCCCCAGGAGCAAAGATGGGGGGCTGTGGAGGTGGAGGGGAGGAGAACAGTGAGATGGAAGTCACAGACCTAACTCAAGAGGTGGCATCCCAATACTTGTGCCACATTCTCTTCCTTCGAAGCAAACTTTAGGTTCAGCAGGCAGGAGTATTGGGAACCAGTTTCGAGGCTGCCTTCCTCAGGTCCCACTGTCAGGGAAAGGCATTCTAGAAAGATGTTAGGCCAACCAGCAAAAGCGTGAAAAGCCGAATAAATGAGGCCAAAGGAGGTTAAGATCCAACTGGTACTTTGTCTCGTGTTATTTTTAAAATAGACATTAAAATAGAGTTAGGTTCGCGGAATTTACTCTAGTAAAACCTTTGTTTTATCTAAGTTTAACTTTTGGAGTTGACTAAAATATGTAGGATTTTTTTTTTTTTTTTTAATTAGCTTTAGACAGCCATCCTGTGATCTGTTGTGATCTGTTCAGGCTATACCAAGCAAAGCAAATAAGCTAAAGCCAAATCAAGGAACACAAAGTCCAATTCATTTATAATTCCTATTAATTTGGGTGGAGGGGAGAGAGATAAAAATCTGTAAACAAACTTTAACATATGATTACTATTGGAGTTTACAGTAACTAGCTGAACTTTGCAAGTACAGATATTCATGACATCCCTTCCTGGGGGTGTGTGTGTGTATACAGAAAACCTTAACATTTTACTCTCTAAAGAATCTCATGAGAAAACTTATTTTCAGTAGTTTTCTTTCTTTTATAGTTAGCACTGACAATAAAAATATCAAAGATAGCCTATAGTTTTGCCAGGCAGAAGTATAAATATAAATATATTTATACTTATTAATATAAATCTGTGCACATGAAATCAAGTTTTGGTTACCATATTTTTTCCCAATAAATTCATCATTTCTAAAACAGAAATTTTAATTTCATCTTCTAGTTGGCATTCCTCCCTCTTGTATGAGAATTGCATTGTCAGAGCAAAGGAAAGAACACTAGTTTTACCTTCCCACTAGAGTTGTTGATATTAGTATTTAGGTTCAGAAGAGTCAAGACAGCAAGTTGGGTTCAGAAGCTGTGTACTCAGGGCTTCCACAGGAAGCATGGTGTTCATGAGCTAAAAAGTGCCACAGAAAGGTCACGTTAGTGGGATCAAATTGTTGAGGGCCTTGCTTGCCAAATCCAAGGGGCACAGGGTTCTCGTGGGTGGCTAATCTCTCTTTCTGGGCACTTCTGTTCTATAGGCCATAATGGGGTGTCTTAAGGGTGAAGAAGGACATTCAGCATTCCAGAGAATCCTGGATAAAGTAAGAGAAGAGAGCCTGGAAGTTCAGACTGTCGTGTCGCTGTTAAGGCTGTACCAAGATTCAAATCCTGCGGTGAAGACGGCACTATTAGACAGGAAACTGGAAGCTGTGGCGGCAGAGCAGCCAAAAGGTAGGAGAGAACTCTGTCCACCCAATTGAGTGAGTTTTATTCTGGGAAGACTCTGTAAAGCTTGCTCCGGTGATAAATTCCTTTAGTGGCTTAGTTACTGGTAAGTGGTTTCACATAAATTCTGCATGTGATTCCAGAGGACACATGTTAAATAGATACTAACTAAATCTGATGCTCCATTTCTATCTACTAGTTAACTGTCTGCACCTTGACGTTGGCGAATACCATCAATGTTCCCCTGCCCTTCAGGAAGCCACACATCTAAACCACCGTTTCATGTGCCCAGGGTGAACAGGTTCACGCTTTAAGGCTGCAGTTTCTCATTTGGGTTAGGTACAAAGCAGTGGCCTTGCCAACCAGAAGTTAACCTCTGGCTGGCTCTGTAGCTTTGTGTTTCGACAGATAAGTGAAACATTTTTCTTTTCATAGAGTTTAAACAGAATAATAAAGTATTTTCCTCTCCAAAAAGAGATTCTGCGTTCGAGTGCTCAGAATAGGCTGAGAATCACTTTACAATTCTGTTAGATCTCTCTTGACAAACCACGCTATCATTTTCTTCAAATTGACTACTTTCTCCCGTGTATCTCTAACTCTTTTTCCCCCAGGGAGCACAGAGGAGGGAAAGACCTTGTCTGTTCTGTTACTGGAACACAAAGAGGACCTGATCCAGTGTGTAACACAGCTGAGACCTATTATGGAGTTCCTGGAAACTGCCAAGGAGGAATTCCTGACTGGCACCGAGAAAAGGGTAGCTGTGTGGAGTGTCTCTTCCTCCCTTCTCAATTCACAGAGCACTGTTTAGAAACCTCCTTTTGGCATGTAGCACTTTTCACCCCACAGTTCTTTGTGTGTAATGCATAGTAAGCACCTTTAAGTTCAGGGTCTTGTTTCCTGCTTCTTTGTATCCCTTGCAGTAGCGGATTGAGGGCCTTACACATTGTAATTGTGCATTAACTGTTTAGATGTGGGGTGGGTGGGTGGATAGGTGGTGGGGGGGTGGGGAAATGAATTGATGGACAGATATATGAAGGATGAATATGTGACAGTCCTGCCCTGACTCTATGTATTTTTTAATGAAAAACTGTTGTCCCGAGAGTTTAAATGTTAAGGTATATTTTGTCATTATTATGACATTTTTCCTCTATTGAAATGATACAGTGTTCTGTAGAGATTTGGGAAAATGAGCAAAAAGAAAAAAATTTGAATCTTCCACATCTCACACTCAGATGATCATTGCCAACATTTTAGAGTGTATACTATGCTTTTCTTGTTTGAGTCCTTCTGGGATGGGGTGACACAGGATATACGGTTTTGTAACTTTGCTCTTTTATTTAATATATTTTGAATAGATAATATGGATTTTGGTGGCTGTGTTGTATTCAGTCTAATGGACACACCATAACTCGTTCATTCTTTATTACTGGGCATATGTTTCCAATTTTTTGCTATTATAAATGATTCAAAGAACATCCTTCTACATAAATTTCTGCAAACTTCTCAAATTATTTCCTTAGAATAATTGCTAAGAACTGGGATTTTGGAATAGAGGGTATAAAAATTTTCAGGTATTTGATATATATTGCCAAATTGCCCTTCAGGGGAGTTGTACCAATTTACTTTCCCACTAGCTAGTTTCTACAGTCCCCATAAAACTGCTGGCATGGCTTCTCACATCAGTTAGATAACTGTATTTGGTGGTGTTATTGATTTCAACTTTGTGCTAAAAATATTTTTATATCTGGAAGGAAGGAATAGGACCAGAAAACTTTGTGGCATCAATTCTTAAAACTATGGGAAGGAGCTTACATCTTCAGGAGACAAGATGGTTAGAAACCCAACGGCTTGTGGCTAAGCACTGGATGAATAGTGCTGGATTAATAGTGGATTAATGGGGACGGGTTTTAGATTTTTTTTTCCCCTCATGATCTTATATTGCTGTTCTTTCATATAAAGTGGGAACTATCTTTAATTGCAAAACTGGATCTTGCAAATCATGTTTTTAAAATGTTAGCTTCCTTGAACTTAGAGAAAGATTTTAGATTAAGTGTAATCTCAGACACTCAGGTTAAGCAAGTTGCCGATAGCTTTAGGAGTGCCGGATTCCCTGTTCAGTGCTCTCATGAGATTACTCATTCAAACCTCTTATTAACTAGATTGAATGTGTCCTTTCAACGGTTTCATTGTCTTGGTAAAATCGTATTTATAGGTAGAGCCCGAACTCAGCCTCATTCTCTGCAACAAGGCAGACCACACTGTCATTTTCTTCTGTCACTTTCAGTTTACTTGACAGAAAGAGCTGAAGCAGAAGAACTTAAATTAGTTATAAATCACGAAAACACTTCTTAAGATTGGGGTGCCACCAGAGCTTCATTAAGCTACCCCTCAAGAAAATTGAAGCAAAATAATAAAGCGGGGGTGTCAGAGTGTGTGTTGACCCAATAGCCACAGTGTTTAGACATCATGTGGGACAAGCACTTGGGCATTCCGGAACTTTTTCTGTTATGGGATGGTGCTTATCATAGGTGTCATAGCCCTTATGTGCGATGCCTTGGGTTCTGTAAGAGGCAATAAATAGGAATGTCTTTACTTCAGGATTGGAAATAGGTACAAATATTTGTGGTTTGCTGTCCACTAGGCAGTGTGTTGAAGATCTTTTAAGCACTATTAAATTCTAATCTTTCAGCAACTTTTAAAATCATAGATATTATGCTAATTTTAAAGATGAAGAAACAGACCCCTAAGAAGGTTAAGCAACTAGCCCAAAGCCACAGTTTCTTTGGACCAGTACTGCAACCCACTTCTGAACACATCACTTCTGAGCAAATCACGCTATCTCAACCACCATGCACACTGCACCTAATAAGATCAGTTGTCACTGTCATTTATTAAAGATCACCTATATCTAGGCTTTATGGCTGGCTCTACAAACAGCAGTTTTATTTTATCCTTATAATAACTGGAAGAGTTGATATTGTTATCTTCTTTTGCAGATGAAGAAAATGAGGTTCAAAGAATTAAATAACTTACCCAAAGACACATAGCAGTAACTTTTAAAACTAGGGTCCAAACTAGGTCTGTCTGACTTTAAAGCCTGTGCATACTTTTGATGACAGTATCTGGATGCGTTGCTACATATCAGGTTACTGCTTAGGGGTACAGTACTGAAATCAGTATGGTCTTCAGATACAAGCTCTTAAATTTTTAATTATGATTGACTTAGTAGAACTCTAAAATATGTTAGACTTTAAACAAAACGAATAACTACATTCTCTTCTGACAAGGACTATGACAACTTGATTTATGATATATGCATTCCTTTCAAATATAGAGATCTAATATAGATATTCTCTCCATATACATGAACCCAATTTGGTTTTATAGCTAAATTCATTATTTTGAATGGGAGTTAATTTGATAATAGCGTCCTCTGCCTTGCTGCTGTAACTGATTTGCTTGACTGTTTCTCCCGAGAGCTGGCATTTCCCCAAAGGAAAGCTCAGAATTCAGTTATTGTGAATCTGTAGATTACATGTATTGAAATAATCCCCTGCATTATCAGTTCCACAAGAGCCAAGTTATGCACATTGAGTCTCAATTCCCTAAGAAGCAATTCTATTGTAGTAGAAAAACACCTGTAAGATAGCTGTCACATGCCTTATTTTTCAACCTTTTGCTGGAGTTCTGTGCCCTCTTGGCTCAGCACACCCTCTAGCACACCATGGAAGAACCAGGTAGTGGAATCATGGGGCGATGACTGGGGCTGATGTATGTGACCAATAGAATGAGGGGGAGAGATGATATATAGCTACAAGAAATAAATATAGAAATACACCTTAGATCTGTTATTTTGGAGACTACCGACTAATGTATAAATTATCTGAGTATTCAAATTGCTATGCAAATAAAATATTTTCACAAAGTGCAACCTTTTGGAGGTGAAGGATATGTGTAGACCTTCATTTGAGAAAGGAAGATCTTTGTCGAGCTGTTTGTTTGGAGGCGTTTTGAATATTTATTGAAACAAAATAAGGGAAGAGACTGAAAAAAGTAGCGCTAGAGATCAACAGAGAAGGAGGTGGAGAGAGACAAGGCATCTTGTAATGCAGCTTGCTGGGTTTTCCAGTGGTATGTCAGCTACACTTAGAACTGCTAGTAACTGGTGTCTGGTTGATTGCTTTCCACTGCAGGTGATTCTGAATTGCTGTGAGGGCGGAACACCCAAGGAGACAATAGAAAATTTGTTGCACAGAATGTCGAAAGAGAAGACCCTGACTGCTGAGAGTTTGGTAAAACTCCTCCAGGCTGTGAAGAAGTCATTCCCAAACTTGGGCCTTCTGCTGGAGAATTTGCGGAAAATAGCCACTTTGCCGAGCACCACAGGTACTAGTTAATTGTTGACTGTCTGGACCACTCCTGCAGAAAATGAAAGCTTAAAACACCCTTTCAGTTCTGTGCTGGGGAGATGAGATGATGGTAGGAAATGCCATTGCAGAACAGACGCAAGCTGTCACAGAGCGGTCATGCTTGTATTTCTGGAGTTTGAACTGAGAATTATTTTCTCCATTAAGCTCCCCCACGAGGTTCCTGTGTTCAGGTTTGCTGATGTGTGGTTTTTCCAGGACTGGCACATGTCACCTGTGACAGCTTAAGGTGCAAACGGGCTCATGAAGCTGCTGATATTGACACGCTGTGTTGACAGATGTGAGCAGCGGAAGCACCAGTCTTGATTTCCCCATTCCCTACTTGAATGCTCTTTAGTTCCCACAGTCCCTGGAATTAACTGCTATCGTGTCCATTCAGCTTGGGGAAGTGAGTCCATATTTCGTTCCCTAGAAGACAGCTCCACTCTCGCCAGTCCTCCCCTTGTCCCGGGCATTTAAGACAGAATGGTTTTCAAAAAAAGGATATTTGGGGATGAGACTGGTACCTCTCACATTCGTTTTTGTGGCTATTGTAAGGTAAAATACTTAGCACAGTCCCCCTGGCCCAATGTTATCATCATCACCACAAGTTACACAGTGGCAAATATCTTGATACATTTTCTGTATTTAGATCATTTCTTAAGTTTAGATTTCCAGAAGTAGAGTTATGGGCAAAAGGAGAATAAATTCTTAAATCCTTCCAAAGCTAAGGGAAATGCGGATAGTTCTGCTTTGTCGTTACTTTCAAATAAATCTGACCTTTTGAAAGAGTCTAACAGATTGGCTCAGAGGACATGTAAACAGCAGAAGGAGGTTCAGCTCCACCACCACAGCCTTGACTCAGGCCTGTATTTTGGAAGCCACATGGATCCTTCACCTAAAGCTTGTCGAGTAATAATTAACCCCTTGACTGTGCATCTGAATCTCTTACAAGTGCAGCCTTCTAGTTACCCCCCTGTTGAGTAATCCCAAGCAGCTACCACCGGGCACTAACTTGCAAAGTGTTAGTGGTTTTGTGACCCTGAAGCACCAAGTGATTAAGTGTGGACCGAAGGAGATCTGAACACATGTGTATGAGGCCCTAGGCCAGAGCTGAACTTGCTCTCCAGAGGAGGCAGAGCTCTTGTGCAGATAACTCTCTTCCTCTCTCATTTGTATCTCCCCAAGTCTTCAGTAGAACCCTTAAGGAGGTTTTGTTGAATCAAACATTATTGTTTTGCCAATATCCTTACAGTCCAAGCAAGCCCTGGTGATTATGGCACTGAACTATTGAGACGGTATCACGAAAACCTCTCTGAGATTGTCACAGACAACCAGATGTTACTAAAAATGATCTCACATGTGAAGAGTTTAGCCCCTGGAGAAAGAGAGGTAAGAGAGGAAGAGAGAGAGGGAGGAAGGGAGAGAGGGAGGAAGGGGTGGGGCAAATGAGAGCGAAGGAAAAAAAGATGAACCTATGTATTTTTTAATATATACTTATATTTTATATAAATACATACACACAGCCATGTTGAGAAATGCTAAGGGGTGTGTAGAGAGGGAGAAATAGAAGTTGATTCTGTTTCTAAGGCAGAATAACAGGTAGGATAGTTATAACTGCCGAGTACGAAGAGGGACCCTCCAGAGAAGGAAGGAAGAACTTGGTCATGTGTACACGTTTCTTAGTTTGAATGGGGTGAAGGATGTTGAACATCCCCTCCCAGAAATACTGTCCCGTCACCTGGTGCTCAGACTCGCAGCTCTGCGGCTGGGCCATGGCCGGACCGTCCCTCACGTGCGTGTTTGTGCTGCATCTCGAAGGTCATGGAGAAGCTTGTGAAATGTGACGCTGGTTCAGGTGGTTTCAGTTCCCTGATGTCAGCAGTCCTAGAAAAGCAGATTCTCTCTGCAACAGCCATTTGGCAAGTGCTGCTGGTGGCTCAGGAGACAAAGACCTGCCCATTGAAACTGCTCATGGAGGAAATCCGCAGGGAACCTGGCGCCAACGCTTTCCTCCGGGCAGGTAGGTTACCTGACCTCTGTCATGGCCTTGCCCCACTAGGCATTCTTGTCAGTCTTCCCAGAAAATAGGAAGCGCTCCATCGTGGTAGACATTCTACCTTGGAACTAAGGACCGTGTATTTTATTCAAGGATATGGGAATTTATAAACCTTTTTAAGTAATTGTCTAAGTTTATGTTAGTAATTGTATTCCAATTAGAGCGCCATTTGCCATTTTCCACACACCCATCCCAAATAGGAGAGAGGTGAAGGATGTTCTGTCATGAAGAACTAAGTTGAGAATAGGTGAAGGGAAAATAAATGGTGCTCTGAGTTTCCCTAATTAGTCTTCAATCCCTCTTTCTTTCAGTGACTGCCCCAGAAAGTGCTGCCTTAGAAGCCATCCTGAGGCATCACACATCGATCCTTGAGGCCATCGAGCAAAGCAATGACATCAAGGGCTTTTCCTCAGAAGAAGAGCACCTGGCAGAGGATGTCAAAGAGGTGCTGTGGGGACAAAGTGCAGGGTTTTCCAGTGGCTGCTGGAAGGGTCTTTGTTCCTAAGGGTGGAATCAGCCCATAGACTGCCTTACATGGCCCCTATAAGCTAGCACTTTGTAACACTTTTGCTCTTTTAATCCTGCCAACTTTGAGTGGCAGGTGATGCCACCTACATTTTACAAATCAGGGAACTCAGGCTCCAAGGGGTTCAGTAAATAAGCTCCAGCTGGTTGGAGGTAAATCCAGGATTTGAACCCACATTCATGTGATTCCAATCTAGATTATTCCATTTGTATGAACCTAGGTAAATCTCAAAGGGGCTCATGATACTATTCTCCAACACGTTCTGAGAAGCAGCTTCTTCCAAAGGAAAGGAAGTAAAATTGTTCTTATTACATGCTCTATTCTGGCTTCTAGGAACAGCCAAGATAAACATAGCTAGAACAAAGCCTTTGTCCATATGGAGTAGCAGATAGTGCCAACTCATTTTCTGTAAGGCTTCTCACAGTGTGGCCAGCATCCCAGAAAAGCCAGGTGGGGACTGGGTGAAAATCATGAATGTCCAGGCCAGGATCATGTGCATCTTGAGTGGGGGGACTTAGAGAGGAATGAAAATTAAATTACAATTCATCCGTGGTGCTTTGGATCCAAGTAGGCCGGAAGGTGTGCACACAGGTGCCCGCCACGGTGGTCTGACTCTGGGGGAAGACAGTGGCGCACATTTGTGTGTGACTTCAGAAGAAAGAGTCATCTGCTAGACTCTCCCCAGAATGCCACACACTTCAGAGATGGGCTTCTGCCGTTGATCAGTTTTAGCCTCACTAATTAGTCTCATGCCTGCCTCTAGGGACATCAGGTTTATTTAGATAGACTTTAAAAGAGCAGAAATAAAATATCTTCTAAAATGAAAATTCCATTTGACCATCTGTGGATGGTTTAGCTTTATTTTCTCAGTGTACTGACTCTTTCTGTTGCTCGCTCTAACGTTCTGAGAGAGAACAGCTTTGAAATAATATTCTTGGCCTCTTTAAAGCCCTGGTTTGAACCTTCTCTAAAAAGCTGTTTCTTTATGAAAGAAAATGTTTAAAAGGGTCCATCTAAGTATCTAAAAATGTGAAGCCCCTGATCATGCAGAATTATTTCCAGACATCGAAACAATTATGTATTGTGAAAAATGATCCTGATCTTCAAGACAGAAACACCAGCAGCCAAATCCTACAGCTTTCTAAGCTTTTAATATTAAGATCTAGAAAATTTAATATTTAGACCTGAAATGTTAATATTAAGAGCCAGAAAACTTCTTTGGGCGATTCCTGGTTTCCGTGAAGATATTTCTCATGGAAAATATTTAATGATCCCTTGCTCCATCTTTGTATTTGCACATATGCCTCCTTTTCTTTTTTTTAATTAATTTTATTTGAAAAGAGAACCCTCTGCTGCAGCAAGAAATATAAACTTGTTGTAGATAAAGCATGCCTTCCTGAAATTTAGCTTTTTTCTTAAGTTGAAAACCATGGAGAAAATCTGATACTAACCGCAAATCTCTGTCTCACGGTATTCATTTAGATTCTGAGCATTTCCTCTGAGACAGCCAGCCCTGAAGCTTCCCTGAGAGCAGTGCTGAGCAGAGCCACGGAAAAATCCGTTTCGGCCGTTGAAATATGTCACCTCCTGTGCCGCATCCACAGATTTTCCCCAGGCCTGCAGCCTGTCGTGCAGGAGTTAGCGCGCATGGGTAAGAGGCGGGGGCTGAGAATCCTGCCTCAGGAGGCCCCAGATTGTTTCCTTATTAGAGAGAAGAGGTGACCATTCCTAGACTTCTTCCATTGCTACTTCATTTTACATGCTTTCCGCACTTAGAAAAGGCACGGGCATCGATGTGAGATGACTCTATTTGTGTTCCTCAGAAGTGAAAGATGACAGTGGTATCGCTGCAGGGGTTTAGAGGGTCCCAAGCAGTCTCCAGTCCCTTACAGTTAGAAAGCCAAGTAGAACAGAACTCCCAGGGCCACACACTTCTCTCCTGTGCAGGTTTCCTTACTCAGGAAAATGGAGAGGAAGAAAAATGGAAGGTGAGTGATAAACTTCACCTTGAAGCTACTGACAAAGCAGAGGGAAAGACAGCCGATCCGGCTGAAGAAGAATGCCAGTCCAGGAAACAGAACCATCAGGGAGAGCCTGGTTCCTTGCCAGAACCACCCGAGAAAGACACTTCCGCGTCCCCAGACTCCGCCAAAAAGAGTTTTGTCTGTCAGGCCTGTGACAAAAGCTTCCACTTCTACTGCCGCCTGAAGGTGCACATGAAGCGCTGCCGGGTGGCCAAGAGCAAGCAGGTGCAGTGTAAGGAGTGCAACGAGACCAAAGAATCCAGGAAGGAGCTGGAGAAGCATCAGCTGGAGGCCCATGGTACAGTTGCAGAAGCCGACATCCCCAAGAAGAAGAAGAAGAGGCTTCCAGTGACGTGTGACCTCTGTGGAAGAGAATTTGCTCACGCCTCAGGTACTTCCAGGAGGCGGGTCATAGGGGGTGATGTGTTGGGTATCGGCCTTCAGATTCCAGGCCTTGCCTCCACTGTGTGAGGTAAGGGTGGCGCGTGGGTCTCAAGGATAGATCAGGCTCCAACGGGGCAGGGTGGTGGTTGGAGGAGAGCAGGAGCTTTGTATCATTTGTCTGAGCTAGAATTCCTCATCTGGTATATAAGCACCCTGACCCCGCCTCATTTTTTGGGATTGCTGGGAAGACTTAAGATGATGTAGCTAAACTCCTACTATAGCACTTGCAGTGGAGTTAGTTCCCAGTGAGGTGTAGCTGTTCTTATTCAGAATCATAACCAGCTATTTAACACCCGAGGTTTCCACATATCACTTCCTCCTTGATAATAAACAAGGTTCTCGAAAACCACAGACTGTATAGTCAGAACTGTGTTCCCTGGCCCCAGATATCTGATAAACCCAAGGAAAGAGAAAAATGAATCTTGTTTCTCTTTCTGGGTAGCTGGTCCTGTTTGAGAGAGGGAGGGAGGGTGGGGAATATAAACCCAGAGCTCTTCATGCCTGTTCTGAGGAAGAGTGGGATGCAGGGGACTGGGTGGAGGTGCAGTGCGGCTGGGGTCTTATGGTTCACTCTCTTGAACGCTGGCTGGGGGTGATGTGGCCTATGACCTTACGCTGGACTCAGGGTTGCTGACTGTTATGACTCTGGCCCCTGGCCCACCCCCCAGGCATGCAGTACCACAAGCTGACGGAGCACTTCGATGAGAAGCCTTTCTCCTGTGAAGAGTGTGGGGCAAAGTTTGCAGCCAATTCTACCCTGAAGAACCACCTTCGCCTTCACACTGGGGACCGCCCGTTCATGTGCAAGCACTGCCTCATGACCTTCACCCAGGCCTCTGCCCTGGCCTACCACACCAAGAAAAAGCACTCGGAAGGTAAAGTGTGGAGAGGTTCATTTTCTCCTGCAAACTTTTACTTGCTTAAGAACCCATTTGGAATTAGGTATGATGCGGATGAATCCAGAAACAGAACAGACACTCTCTGGGCACACGGGTGACTGGATGTGTGCACAGGCATGTGAAATGCTTGTGGCGAGTTTCTGAAGAGAGGCTGGCTGATGCAACACTGACTTTATTTACCACTGTAGAGTTTACATAAAGCCCAGCATCCCTTGGGCTAAGGTGGAGCGCAGGAATGAGTGGGTGATCTCAGGCAATGAGAACTCCCTCCTTACCAGGTGGGGAGACCACACTGGCACCCTCTTCACAGGATTGACTGATAGGATGGCTCAGACCTCTCACCCCGGGTTCCAGACACCCATTCTGTTATTGTCAACTCCCAGATACTCTGCTCCCAGGACTTGCCTTAGAATGTGGTTTTGTTTTGAGGAACGCCAGGAACGTGTGGTGCTGTCTCTGATAAACTGTCTCTTTCCAGGGAAGATGTATGCGTGCCAGTACTGTGATGCTGTCTTTGCCCAGTCCATCGAGCTGTCCCGCCACGTGCGGACCCACACTGGGGACAAGCCATATGTCTGCAGGGACTGTGGCAAGGGCTTCCGGCAAGCCAACGGCCTCTCCATCCACCTGCACACGTTTCATAGTAGGTACTGGGACCATGTGTGTCGGGCACTTAGTGCCGGGACTGCCCCCAAGAAGGCATGTACCCATCGTAACAGAAGTTGTCACCAGAGCTGGGCCCTGTTCAGTGCCTGCCCTCCCCCATGCTCCTGCAAAAGTCAGAGTCCCTCTCTCCTGTTTCAAGAAGAATCCCATTTTAATGTGTGATTGATTGCGTGATGCCAATTTCTCTGTCCAGGCTGTTTCTTTGTCTTTCTTTTTAGCCTGCATGGCTCTGTTTGGCTGACAGAGGCAAATTATGTTTGAAGGGAAAAGCTTCTATAACAGACAGGCACTGGAATATTCCCATTAGTCCACTGAGCTCCTGTTTTCTACCCACAGCCTCTTCCCCACTCTCATCTTATAGTCCTGCCTGCCTTTCCCAGTAGGGCAAACTGGACACTGAGTTAATGTGTACCATCAAATGTTGGTCTTCTGCCCAACATTCTCTTCCAAATGCCATTGTATTCACTTGGTTGGGTCCACCCCATCTTTCTCCCCTTCTAGAATGGACACAGACAAAAAGGCACTGCTATTCAACACACACTCAGGAGGGAAAAGGAAATTCTGTGATTCCTCATTACATCGTCAAAAAATCGTGGTATGGCTTTGGCTGGCACTTGGCTGCTGCTTCAGAGGCCCTTGTTGCAGTAGGAATGAATCAGCACAGCCTAGCAGGAACCTCCAGACACTGAACTCACAGACTTGGATTTGAATCTTGACACTACCATTTACTTTCTTGAGACCTTAAACTCATTTCTTAGCTTCCAAAGCCTCTAATACCCCTTCTTAAACTAGAGAAAGCAATACTACTCCCTGGATTATTGTGAGAATTATTCATGAGGTATCATATGTGAAACGTGAAGTTTCTTACCCGGCACATAGAAAATGCTCAATAAATGCCGGATATTAGTGACACGAGCAACCCTCTCAGGTACCGTGAGAAAACCTGTCTTTTTTGCACACCTTGCTCCTGTTTCCCCTCCGTGCCCATCCCCCATATACCAGTTTCAGTTGAGTTGTCACTAAATACAGTGTCTTGCAAGCATGTGCTTTGTGTCAGCACATTCAAGTCTGCCGCCAGCCAGTCAGCAAAGGACTTTGCCAGAGAGACTGTGTGCCTGGCATGTGGCTGGCCCCTGGATAATGCAGGGGACTCTGAAGTGCTACCTCTCCCCACAAGAAGTTTACAAGGTTGTCCAAAAAAATCTAGCTGTGGTAGACTTCCAGACAGTGGATGTGGCTTGGACCCCATGCCACAGTTTTGATGTCCTCTTGACCTTTTAAATTGTGCTCCTCTTCCAGTAGCATTCCCTGGGAGTCAGCAAGGGGTGACCCTAAGTTTCTAGAATGGAGGGGGTGTATCTTCGGCAGCATCCAGTCCCCTCTCATGTCGGCACTCCCCGCCTGTTCCATAGGCCACATCGCTGCTTCAGAGTGTCTTAGATGACATTGTAAAACAGATTTCAAGAGCTCCTGTCTGCAGGGAAACTCGTTAATGATCCCGAGAGCTGCTGCATGTTAGGATTCCTGAATTAATCTGAATCCATGCACACTAAGATGGGCCGGTAGGCTGGGCCTTTCTTGTGGGCAAAGGGTTTTAGTATGAAAACATTCCACTTTCTGTTGCTTTCAGAAAAAGACTGAAGTTTCCTGCCATAGGGAAAGCAAATGTATTCTTCATCACTCTTGGTTCGTCATTCTGAGGTCTCAGTGCAGCTGGCGTGTCCACTTAAGCATGTAGCTCAGAGCACAGCTTGGGAGTGAGAGCTGGGATTGTTACCCAGTTCAGCCATCCGCTCCTAGTGCCACTGGGCCCTCTTTAAATCTTGATTTTCCTAATCTGTAAAATAGAACTGATAGTGGAAACTGTGAAAGGATTAAGTGAGCTCCTTGGACACAAGGCTTCAGAACACGCCTGTCCCTTAGCACTCATTACACCCTACCTATGAAAATGTCTTTATTGTTGAGTCCACAGTGGGGTGCAAGGAAGCATTCTCAGTCATACTGGTGATAACTAAGGAATAAGGGAGGCTCTGGGGAATGTGTTAGAAGTCTCTACAGAGGATTGGGAAACGCAGAGATGCCCACTGCAGGCAGGGAGGATGCAAGGACGACACCCCCAGCTATGTAATAGGATGGAGTTTACCTTGTCAGCTATTAAGTGAGAAATTGAGGTGAACTATTGGGTGCTGCAGAGGCAGTGAATCCTAAAGCCTTGCAGGAATCCCACCTTCCAGGATGATGGTGGAGTTCCCTGCATTGGCTTCTGGTCACTGGAGTCTGTGACCTTGCACGGTGTGTGAACAGTCTTGCATCTGGACCTGTGCACGGGCGCCTGCAGCGCGCTGACTGCGGCCTGTGGTCTTTCTTTCCCTCCGCCCTTCTCGTGGCTGTCCCCCCGGGAACCAGACATAGAAGACCCCTATGACTGCAAGAAGTGCAGGATGAGCTTCCCCACTCTGCAGGATCACCGCAAGCACATCCACGAGGTGCACTCCAAGGAGTACCACCCCTGCCCTACGTGTGGGAAGATCTTTAGCGCCCCTTCCATGCTGGAGCGGCACATGGTGACCCACGTTGGAGGGAAGCCCTTCAGCTGTGGGATCTGCAACAAGGCCTACCAGGTGACCCCATTTTCTGGGGCTAGGTCCCCCTACCCCTGACCTGCTCTCCCTTCGACCTTCCTTGAACCCCATGTTGGTGGCTTGCAGAGCCCCTCTTTGTATCTGCAATTTGGCTGGTTCTTCTGAAGGAGGCAGCTGAGAGTGATTGAGATTCTTTAAGGTGACCTGGTCAGACACGGCTCTTCACTAGGTTTCTGCCTCGTCATAAACCCGTGCTGCCTGGCCCTGAGCCCTCACGTTGTGTGTTGCGTGAATCCTGTTGACCCCATGTGTCCAGATAGCAGAGAGTGGCAAGGGATCGTGTAACACTGCCTGGAATTCTCTCGTTTGGCACAGTTATTGGTGGTGTGTCTTTTTTTAAGTGCCGGGGCAGGACTCTGCTTTTTTACCTTAGAATTTGGTATGTAATTAAAGTGAAACCCCACATAGTACTAAAAAGAAGCCACATCTGTGAGAAACTCTTAAACCAGAGAGAAAAGAATGGCCATTGCTGGCATCTGTAAGATGTGGGGGTGGAGAGAGATGACTAGCAGCTGAATGCCACTCAGCAAAAACTAAGGGTTGGCTTTGTGCCAAGTCTTGTGCTGTGATATTAGTGTCAAGAGCTGATGGAGACCAGGGCTTCATCTCTTGGGGCCCAGGGGATGGCAGGGAGTGTCTCAGCACTGCTTTGGGACCTGAGAAGGACTGGGGCACCTGCTACAGAGCAGGGACAGCCTGTGCCCCTTTGCTGCACCCCAGGCCCGGGAAACAGTGGTGAAGAGCATATGCTCCAGTTGCAAGGCCCAGGCTTGAATTCTATTCTTGCTATTTACTAACCTGTGACCTTGGGCAAGTCATTTAACACCTCTGTGCCTCAGTTTCCACCTCACTGAAAAGACTCTAACACCCCCACACAGGCTTGTGAGGGGTGAAAGTTGTATCTCAGTAAATGCACCCTTGTTCCCATCCACTCCTGCCTCCCCTCTCCTGCCGGTACTAGTGTGCTAGGTAGTGAGTGATTGGCGGTCTACACGCTTACCTGAGAACGTTATTCCCCTCTCTTATGGGGGTCTTGCTAGCACATTCTAAGATCTAGCATTTGCAAAATTCCTTGCAGCAATTGTCTGGCTTGTGGTACCACAACCGGACCCATCATCCTGACGTGTTTGCTGCTCAGAACCATCGATCTTCCAAGTTCTCGTCACTCCAGTGCAGCTCCTGTGACAAAATGTTTTCCAACACCATTGAACACAAGAAGCACATTAAAACGGAGCACACAGGTGAAGTCGGGGTGCTGCCGACCGTGAATCTGAGCTGATGAGTCAGAGCGACTTGGTGTCGTGGCATCCTGGGTTCTGTCCCCAAATCCCAGCTCCAGGCTGTAGTATGGTGTGCTGTGGTCCTGACCTCTGTTTGCCGCACCCTGGAGAGGCCGCTCAGGGCACCGGCAGCAGGTTCTGGAATGGGCAGGTTCTCAGCCCTGGAGACTTAGAGTAGTGTAGGCCCCCGCCAGCCCCTGAGTCACGACTGCTTACAGCACCTGGAAAGGGTGGCATGTTGGTGGCAGGCAGGCCTGGGAGGAAATCCTGGCTCTTGCCCTGAACAACGGGGTGGCCATAGCAAGAACTCCTCTCTTCTGCAACTGTTCCTTCTGAGAAAAGGAGTTATTAGCACCTCCTTGCAGGTAATCTGGAATAATCACAACTGCTAGTCATGGACTGTTTCCTGAGTGCAAGGCACAATTCAAAGCACATGTTTGTGTTTTCATTTAATTGCATCATGGCAGTCAGGGTGCTGTTTACCCCTGGATCACACTAACAGAGCCTAGGTATGAGGTTCCTGGTACATGGTAGATGCTTGATGAGAGTGAGCCCTCACTCTTACCCCAAGCCTGCTACTCTCCAGCCTTAGAGAGCCATCCCCCACCCCCTTCTCATGTGCTTTGCAGATATGAAGTTCCACGAGTGTGACCAGTGTAAGGAGCTCTTCCCCACGCCAGCTCTGCTGCAGGTTCACATCAAGTGCCAGCACTCAGGTCAGTGCCCCTCCCCAGATGCTCTGAGCTGCACGGCCGCGGGCGTCTCCACCTCTAGCCACAGCAGCGCGTCTCGGGCTAAGTGGCTTGACTAACTTGTGCCTCGGTTTCCTCATCTATAAGACAGGGTCAATTACAGTACCTACCTCAGGGTAACCAAGAGTTCAGTATGTTAGTGCACAGAAAGCACTTGAGGCCTGGCGCCAGTGAGCACCCCTGACTCGTGATCTGTGTTTATCATTGTTGCTGCTCTAGCTCATCAAGTCTAAAGTGCCACTTAAAGAATGTGCATTTTTAATCAACCACTAAGAGAGAGAAACTCCTGCCAATTAAGTTATACTTTTTTCCCTTAGAATGTGAAGGTTATTCTAAGTGCTGCTTTGGACTTAATTTGGCACAGATTTCTCTACTCTTTTGTGTGCATACATAAAAAGGAAACATAAGAAATATATTGACTAAGGGAGGAGTGCAGCTTCTTGGCTTGTCCACGCACGTGTTACTCCACGTGGTTCTGTGCTCTGTGTGGAGCAGCAGTGATGGAGCACATAGTAGGACCGCAGTTTTGGTCTATTGCGCAGTATGTAAACGAGCCTACATTTCATTCCTGCTTTGGGAATGCAGCTGGTCACCCACCCCTCACCTCCTGTCTAAACCATTTGGTTCCCCTGAGTTGAGAACACACACCACTTCTGTCTCGGGGATTTTTTTCCGAGTCAAGTCTCAGTGCTGCCACTTCAGATGTTCCTGGGTGCACCCAGCTCCTGCCTCACCTGTTGATGAGGGGCCATCCCTCCCATTCCAGAGATGCTAACGTGTGCTTCTCAGAATTGGGGAAGTACAGTGTCATCACCACCATATCTGTGGTTGAACAGATAATGGGCCTCAGCAGTGGCAGATTTTTCCAGCATCTACTGCTAATCAAGCTATGGCTTCAGGGCCCTTCATTTGCATGGGTCCTTCCAAAGCTCTGCCCTTAAACCTATTTTTAAATTTTGCTTTATTTACCTGGTTCCTCAGACTATGTAAACTTTAGTCCTGCAGAAAGTGGATCTGTCTCTCTCCTCTCCTTCCTCCTGCACTTGTTGCACCCACAGCCTTCCCCTTTGGTCTCCCCTCCTGCAGGCTCGCAGCCCTTCAAGTGCCTGTACTGTGCAGCGACTTTCCGCTTCCCGGGTGCTCTGCAGCACCACGTCACCACGGAGCACTTTAAGCAGTCGGAGAACACCTTCCCCTGTGAGCTCTGTGGGGAGCTCTTCACCTCCCAGGCCCAGCTTGACGCTCACTTGGAATCTGAACACCCAAAGGTGATGGACACTGGAACCCAAGCAGCAGCCTCACAGATGGTGCAGGTGATTCTGGGGCCCTGAGATACGAGGGTGTGAATGTGGGGTTCCCAAAGCTTCTCTAGAGGCGACTGCCATTACACCCAGGCTTTCCCTCTGGGGTTCTCAGAGGTCCCAGAATAATTCATTCATGACCAGGAGGTCCTTGTGGAAGAATCTCTTGGGACCTCCTACCAAACAGAACAGAAGATTCTAGTCTCCTGGTGACCACGTGTGAAATAGCCCTAAGTAGTGGGAGCCTGGAATAAGAATTTCCAGAAGTGGAACAACCTGTTTCTCTTCCCGTTTCACACACTCCCTGTCTTCTGCGAGACCCTATGGGACAGGGGAGACCTCGGGGTGAAAGCTCTTTGTTGGGACCACCCTTGTTGAAACACCTTTCTTGGGGGGCACAGGGTGCATTTAGACATGTCGGGGTCTCTCACTTTTACCTGAGTGAAAAGCCTGTCTCTTCTGATGTTTCAACTCACTCCAACTCCTCTGTTCCCTGGTCACCTTTTACTCCTCTTCCCATCATTCCCAGAGAGGGTGGTCAGAAAAAGAAAAGAACTCAGCTTCACTGGCAGTAGTTCGTGGATGGGCTGGAGAGGAGCTGTAACCTGCATGTCCAATAGAGCATTTGCTATAAACCCCTTCTCTTTCTTTCTGTGTACCTTCTGCGGGCAAAAGAGGGCAAGTCGGGTGGGCAGGCCCCCAGGGGATGCCCCTGCTGCTGTCAGCCAGAGCGGCTTTGCTGTTTCCTGTTTTCTACATTAGGGTTCTTGTAAGATGGCCTTTAGGAAAATAGGGGGAGATAGGATTCATTGCTTGAAAAAAAGAGCAGCTCTCCTGCCTGCCTGTGACTATGCAGGTGCCTCTCTTTTTCCCCTTTTCCCATTAAACCTGTCCTTTTAAAATGTAAAAAAAAAAAAAAAAAAAAAGGAAGGATGGAAGGAGGGAGGGAGGGAGGGAGGAAGGAAGGAGATGGAAAGGGAGAAAAAGAGAGTGAGAACTATTCTATTCCAGGTGATTTTTGACGGCACGTTACAATTGGTGTCTTCACCTCCACAGCACAGTCACAGCTGAGCTAGGCTCACCCCCTTCCACGCACCCAGGCCTAGTCACTTTTCCCCACTCACGGCCACTTCTCAGGAACCCGTGGGCTCCTGCCATAGCACTCTGGACAGCACCAGGCTTCCCTGGCCACCAGAGCTCTGAAGAAGCGCCAGTCAGAGGCTCAGACAGAGCTGGGCTTAACCACACAGACAATCCTCCCTGAGATGGAAAGCCCCTCTCCGGCAGATGACCCAAGTTTGGAAAGGAGTATGTGGGCTGTAGAGGCAAGGAGGGGCGTGCCCTCCAGAGGGTGGGAAGAGTGAGTAAGTTGATAGAGGTCAGGTTTCATCCACCTGGTCAGCCGTGTCACCTGATGGAGGTCCAGAAGTGCCACCTTTGTCCAGCTGAGACTTCTGGTAAATCATCCCTGTGTCCCATGTTTCCAGACGAGACTAAGCACCTTCCATGGCATTCCTTTCACACGGTTCTTCCCTCCGCGGTGCAATCCTCGAGACAGGAAAGCCTGGTGTGAGAAACTGAGCCAGCGTTCACTGGCGTAATCATAGAGTCCAGCACCCCGAGATGGCTTACTGAGCTAAATTATAGCAATTTAGTGCACAGAGTTATTTAAATTGTTTGCCTGCCTTCTCTTTTGCATCACTGGTGTGTTAGACTTGCCTCTTCCCATTAGGCACATGTAATTGCTCTCCTCAGGTGAAAACATAAACATCATCATTACAGCATGAGGTGGGAGCCATGTAAATGCCGAGCACGCTGTGGACACTGCCCAAAGCAGCCTCGCTGCCTTTCCCTTGCAGGTGATCCAAACCCCAGAGCCGGCGGCCCCGGCGGAGCAGGTGATCACGTTGGAGGAGACCCAGCTGGCTGGCTCGCAGGTGTTCGTGACGTTGCCAGACTCGCAGACGTCCCAGAGCAGCTCTGAGCTGGTGGCTGTGACTGTGGAGGATTTGCTGGACGGTACGGTGACCCTGATCTGCGGCGAGGCCAAGTGAGTGGCTGCTGGACTGGTGGAGGGGTCCTGCACTTGCAGCAGGCATGGTGCCCTGCACTTTGCCCTTGCCCTCCGTCCTTGGCCATCCTGAAGGGTGGGCATCCTAGCCCAGCAGCAACAAAGTGGTCTCCCTAGGGAAACAGACCTAAGTGTCACGGTTCTTGTAGACCTGACGATGTCTGAACATCGATACCAACACTACCGCCTTCCGCAGGAGGCAGGCCTTCTTCCCCACAGACTTGCTGCTGTGGCCTCTGTGACACTGTTCATCCCCAAGTGGAGTGTGGCTTCTGAGGTAGAGTCTGAGTGAGCGGTGGCATGGGAGCGGTGGCATGGGAGCCTTCAAGTGGCGGCTAGAGGTGGGGCTGATGTGCTGCTGGCACCTTTGGCCACTTGAAACTAGAGACAGACACCAACAGCCCCTCTGAGGACCCCCTGCCTTGAGCACACTTGGCCCTTCCTCTCTTTTGTCATCCTCCACCTACTTGGGTGCCCAGCCCGCCTGGTGGTGGTGGTGGGACGGGTAACGCATGTTAACACAGGAAGCCCTCATGTCTGGGTCCAGCCCTGCCTTGCCAGGACCAACAGCCCTTTCCAAGCGAAGGCTGTGGAGTGTTTCTATGGAGGAGTTCAATGTGACACCATCCAGCTATGAGACATTTTCTGCCTTTCCTGCATATTCTTCCTGGTGTTCTACACACGAAGGCTGGTTCCTGCAGTTTTTCCTTGTTATCCTCATCCCCTTTCCCTAATCAAAGCCTAAAACTTCTATATGGCCCCAGGGCCTTGCCCCTCGCTCTGAAGCAAGTTAGGTGGGGATGACCCAGCATTGTGCCTCTCAGCTGCCCTTCCTCCTGCACGGCTTTCCGGGCCTCCTGAGGGCCTGCTGTCTGAGCTCTTCAGGCCGCCACTGCCACTGGAGGTCAGTGGTCCTGTGGAGTGTGAATTTCAGATCCTTTTTATCTTCAGTTCCTAAAATATAATCTCATAATTAATGGTTTGTGGAATCCACTATGAAGTGCAATTAAATGGATGTAGGTTTCTGCCACTTGGAGGGAACGACAAGCATTTATCTTCCTGATGCTGACACCAGAGCTTGAAGTCTGCTGGTGTCATGTTTACATTCCAGCAGGACTGGCTGCCACTTGTGTGGCTTGACCTCCTGCGGTGGGTAGTGCCCAATTTGATCAGCGCCTCGAGGTACAGGCTGCCAGAAGATAAGCCTACCCGCTCTATATCACACGTGGCCAGGTACAAGTGGGGTGGCGGGTCCATTTGGGTGATCATGGGGACTTGTGTTACATCCACACATCCCTGGAAGCACCGAAGGTGGAACCTTAACACTGGCCAGTGTGCTCGCTGACTGACCATCCTGCTCAGGCAACACCGAGCTCTAGCTTGGGCCACCTCACCCCAGGTAGCCCCTCCTCCAGTTGTGTCCTCATTTTGATAGGCAGATCACTGGAGCCTGTCAGCTCCAGGCTCTTCCCATTCTGAAGTAAATGAAGTTTTCAAAGGAAAGACGGCCTCAAAAGCCAAAAACTGACCAGAAGATGGTGCTCAAACCTTTAAGACTTCGCCTCCACGTGAAGCTTCCACCAGGCTGCTCTGTCTTCTTAGGCTTCTCAGTCCTGTGAGCTGTCAGACCCGTGCAAGTGGCCACATAATACCCACTGCTAGTAGAGTGGTTTGTGCTTCCAGGGCCTCGAGGCCAAGTCTGGCAGAGAAGAATGCAATGCCTCACAAGCCATGGTCCTTGGTGGGAACTGCGGTATCATCAAATCTTTTACCAGCCCAAACCCAAAATAAACAAGAAATTAATTGCTGAGGGTCTGTAGGGGAAAGTGACTTTTCTTTTTGAAGAAGTTTGAGGCAGAGAAAGCTGTAAGTTTTAAACCCAAGTTTGAGATCTTTGCAAGTACAAGTATCAAATGAAGACCCGGATGTGGCAGGACATTGGTTTTCCTCAGAATCGCCAGAGCACAAGTTGCCATGTGGCAAGAAAGCAGAGAAGTCAGACCTGCTGCTGGAAGGCCTCTCACCCCGCAGCACCCTTGGCAAGAGGCACAAATCTGTGCTCTTCTACTCAGGAGTGAGGGAAAGAGCCAACCCGACTTGGACTTTGCTCTGAATGGCCTTTGTGGGAGGCTGCATTGGCAATGATTTTTACACCAGGTTGTTCCCTAGAGACACCCCCATGTGGATTTTGTTGTAGGAAGATTTTTTTTCCTAGCTCTCCTGCATCATTTTGCTCTTTTCTCCCACTTCTGCCCAAGAGACCTTTGGAATTGCTACCACAAAGGCCATTGTTGTGGCCTCCTTTGCCCCACATCACTTGCTTTCATTATTGTGGTGGTGGTCTCGTTGCCATGGGTGCTGCTCTTGTGGTCTCCGACCTGAACCCTGAGGCATTTGTGGTGGCATGGAGGGGCCTGGGGCGCTTTGGGACACTTGGATGTGTCTAGTGGAACCCCAAGCCTTCTCTGCTCCCAAGGCTCCTGAAGTGGCCAGTGAGGAGGGAAAGGCAGGCAGATTCCAAGCTGGAGTCTTAACTCTGTGGGAATAATGGGGGTCACTTGTGGAACAGAATTTATCCACCCCAGTAACTGGGACAGCAGCTAAGGATTCAAGAGCAAGAATTCCTGTAGGAAGATGAGACCCAGTGTCCAGGTATGTGAGCAGAACCTGGGACCAGAGGGGCCAGATGGGGCAGAGATAACGGTTTACTTATTTTATCAAGTCTGTCTCTTCTGTCTCAAAGCTTTCTGTTTGAAGACACTGAGGCCAGCATCGTGAATACTGGCTGCCTCTGGTGGCTCAAATCCTCTCTGAGGAAACCTTCTGCCTCTCCCCTCCCACCCAGCACAGACCACATGTCAGCCTCATCCTCCAGGGAGAGTCTCTGAGAGTCGGGCTAAGAGTCCTACAGGGATGAGTAAGGAGACTTCTCTGCTCCTGGTCCAGATAGGTAGATACCCCGAGTTGGGAAAGAAGAGATGGGGCCCAGAGAGTCCCAGTCTCACGCCAGGTGGTGTTGCAGTCACCGCAAGTTGATGCCATATTGATGAGAAGGAAGGGTGGTGCCTTTACTGTGCATGTGCCTGAGACGTTTGACCTGAGAGAAGGAACTGCTAAGCTTATGTAGAATGGTTCTAGGGGACAAGCAATAATTCTGTACATTGAGGCTGGAACGTGAGAGACAGCGATAGGGAGATGCTGGGAAGCTTTAATCAGTCCTCCTGAAGGAAGAATTTGGCAGCCCCAGCCCTGCTCTGCTGGCCCGCTGTATCCCAGGGATATTTGGGAGGTAGGGGGAAACGGAAGCAAAAGAAAGCTCTGGGGTTGAAAAGGAGCGTGGGTGCAAGTTGGTGATTGTTTTGTTGTCATGCAAAGCCACAGGCTGGTGGTACTTGGGCCAAAAGCTCACAGCAGCCAGAGTCCTGACGCTTGCTACGTACAGGAAGGGGGTACTGTCTGTGCTTTGGGGATTATATCTGTAAAGGGGGGAAAATTATCCTCTCAGCTAATTTAGATCATTCCAAATCATGGAATGGCTTCCCTGCCAAAGGCCAGCCTCGCCTGCTCCCGCTGTGGTCAGGACAACCAGCAGCACATGATACTGTTTAAATTGATTACAAACCATTATTCGTTTTTAGCTGGCACTACTATATAAATAAAATATGTACCTTGAAAGAAATGATGCTGCCTGAGTTTCAGATGGACTGTGATGACATGGACCTGTTTTCTCTTGGGTTCTGGGCAGCAGTTGTCATGGCCTGGGTTGGGGGGGCTGGTGCGGGGAGCTCTCCTATCGAGCGGAGTTTTGTATCCTAAACCCTCTTTCCTGGGACACAAGCGCTGTGCAGTGTCTGGGAGACAGGCTTTGGCATCAGACCTGGGTACCAGGTCAGCTGTGCTGCTTTCTGACTGACCCTGGGTGACGTGCTTCCCTCTCTGGGCGCCCTCCCTGCTCCGTCTCTCAATGAGGGAGATCGCTGTTTTACCCCCACAGAATTGTCGTAGTACATATTAAAAACCTGTATTTAATTAATTTAGGTTTGAAGTTTTTAGTTGTTATTAACAAGGTGCTTCACCTACAGGTCAACTATTCCCTGCAGTTTCTAGAACGAGGAGACTGTTCATCCTGACACCTTAATGTGTCTCTCTTTTTCCTCTCTGTGAGTCCTTAGGGATCCTTGTAACACCCACCACTTTTCACTTATTTCTTGAATCACAACTGCCCCAAAGCACTAAGTGCTGAGCAGATAACTATAAAATAAGCAGAAACCTTTCCTGGCGAACAGCTGGAAATGTCACGTTGCTGGCAGGCAACAAGGAAACAGGAGAGACACAGATAGGCCGAGCTTGGTGTCAGTGTGTAAGGCGGGGAGGCGTCACCTGTGCAGCCCTCTGCTGGGGCAGGCCCTGGGGCTGGGGAGGCTGGACTGGGCGGGCCGTGCTGACATTTCCCAGGACAGTCCTGGAGAACAACTAGGGTCCTGAGCCCAGAGGGCTTTTAGGAGCCATGCCCCTCTGCCTCGGCTGCGTCTCTGGAGAGCTGCTGCTGTCTGTCATACTGGAGTGGTAATCCTGAGTGTCCCAGGTACGCAGGGGTCACTGTTGCATAGTCAGGCTGTAGCCATGGAGGTGAATCTGGATAGAGGAGATGCTACTGCAGGTCAGGAAGGATGACGCCGTGTGATTCCTGCTTGGTCCTGGCCGCACAGTGGAGGGTGTGAACCCTGCCCTGCTCACCTCTCGCTACACATGACCTGGGGGGTCATTCCTGACATGATCCTGAGAGGTAACGCTGTAAACTGCCCAGCGGAGCCTGTAGATGCTTCACAAATGATACCCCCTAATGTTTATAGCAGCTGAAAAGAAACCGGAGGAAGAGCGCAGAGAAGGAAAAGAGGGTACGTAATGGATCCTGAGATAGAGGGCCTGGGTGAGACTCAGCTCTGTGGCCCCAGAGCTTCTGTCCGGGACCAAGCGAGTGGTGATCAAGGGGGTGGCCCTGCCGGGTTAGAACAGGGTCTCCCAGAGCCCTTGGGCATCGCTGCTGGGCTGCTGTCTGAGTCACGGCACAGGTTGTGCGTGGCAGGTATCTCGTGAGAACGGGGGAATCAGCGGTGCTGAACCCGTAAGGATTCTGTACTCTCGCCTTGCTTCTTGAGCCTTGTTTGTTTTGTCCCCCATGAGCTTATGCTCAGGCTTGTGTCTGGGATAAAAGTACCTGTGACGCCATGGGACTCACCCATTGCCAAGGGGCCTCCCCTTTGTTTGGAAACGCCCAGATTTGGAGCTCTCGCTGAGAAGAGGGGGTCTAGGACGTGGGCAGAGAAACCGAGCTCGTTTTCTCCTGGTGAACATTTCTCGGACTTTCCCCTATGTCTGTCCCATTCTCTGCCCTGTCACCCGGTGCTGCCCAGTGTCCACTAGGTCGCTGCTTCTGCTCCACACGCTTGGCACTGGACTCAGCGCTCAGGTGCTCAACAGATGTTGCTGCTGCTCTGCCAGGAACCGGCAGCACCGCTTACTTGTCCTCTGGGCCCTCAGAGAGAACCCAACTTCCACATCTCTCCCCGCCAGCAAAGCTTTCCCCAGGTTACCTGGGGGCTGCTCTATCAGAACATCCTCCTTCCTTTGTCCTCCGAGGAGAGATTTGCAGAAGGCCAAGGGCAGCTGCCGGCCCGGGCTCCCCAGCTGCTCTGATCAAACACCACTCCTGCCGCTCTTCTCGAGCTGCTTCCCCCAGCGCAGGCCAGAAACAGCTGATCAAACACATCAGGACAAGGTCAGTCCAGGGACCCACAGTCCCCTCTCCAGGGGTGATTTCACAGACCTGCCATGAGAGGGTCTGATAAAAATGGGCTGGGACCAGAGAAGGGGGGCCCCCAGGGCTGGCCCAGGACCAGCTTTTCATTCCATTTAAGGTTGAAACCTCTGAAATCTGCACAGGGTCCAGACAGAAGCCAGTATTTCCAGAGAGGCCAGGGCTGGAGCTGCCTGTGAGCCCAGGAAGCTGGTGTGCACTGCTGTGCAGCCTGACTGCGGGGGGAGACGTGTCAGGTAGTCAGGGAAGACGAGTGTGGGTTCAGGAGCATGGGATTATCACAGGCTGACTTAAGATCCTCCCTCACTAAACTCGACTCTTTCAAGGGCAAGAGCCATGCATTATCCTCTTTGTTCACACACACACACACACACACACACACTCAGCCTGGCACAGCAGGGGTCTGATTGCACAAGTCTCTTTTAGACCCGAAGTTCTGGAGTCTCTGAGGTTCTGTCATGTGCTTAGTCCCAGCCCAGAGGCTGCGGGAATGCGTGTGTATCGGGCTCGAAGGGTCCACGCGCCTGCGCTGGGGACTAGTGACCTGGCTGACAGGCAAGGAGCGCAGACAGGAAACTAGACCAGAGGCACCCATGCCATCCAGGTGCAAGAATGCCTAATTAATAATTACTGTAATTAAGCGCTTGTCACATGTTGGATTCTGGAGGAGAAGCTTTATGCTTTGATTTTTATTTCACCAACACTGTGATGTAGGTGAAGTCATTACCCCGTGTTAGAGGTGGGGACCCCAACACCAGAGAAGTCACCGGTGAGTCACAGCCAGCAAGCAGCACAGCTGAGGTCTGAACTTGGCTCTTTCACTCTGGGGCTGGCTCTTAAAAAATCAAGCATTTCTTGCTTAACACCCAGGCAGCTGGAAAATACCTGTCAGCCACCCTCCCCAGTCCTTCATCAGCCTGGTCTGTCCCACTGCTGCTCTCCCTTTCTCTCCCCTACCCATCCTGCCAGGCCGAACACTCTGCTGTTACCACCTGTGGTGTCGGTAGCAACATGTCCTCTGTCTTGCTTTGGGACTAGACCTCTGGCTGCCACCCTTGAAGGTCCCTGCCGCCCTCACACTGTCACCAGTCCTCAGTTGCACTTGCTGGCTCAGCCTGCGCTATGGAGTCAGAACAGCCATGGGGCCTGCCTGAACCCAGGGGGGCAGCCCGCCCCATCTCTCCCATACCCTAGGCTCCTGAAGGGAAAATGTTTTCCAGAACAGCAGCCATTTTATTGGAGAGGATCAGATCAGAAGATATTGTAGCTGCAATGGTTTAGAGCCCCATTTAGAGGTCCTCAGGTGTGGGTTTAAATCCCTGCTCTGTTCCTGGTAGGTGTGTGGCTTTGGGAGTATTAACTTTTCTTCCTCTTGATGTTTTTTGTCTTTGTAGATTGGAGGTAATAAAACGTCTTAGGGAAATTGTGCAGATTAGAAGCATGTATGACTCTGGTGCGGGCCATAGGTAGCAAGTGCACCTTAAAAATCATACCAGCTGTGCTAGCAGGAGACACTGGGCTCCGGGGTGGCTCCTATCCCAATGCAGGACCCCACTGGGTGCTTCTGAGGTATGGGTAAGGTGGTTTCCTGCAGCAGGGAGATGGGGATAAAAACAAGTGCAAGCTGGACACTCTGGAGGCAGGTCCTGGTCTTAGCCGCCTCTTTGCCGCCCCCCACACCTCCTTCCCAATGTTTGGCACAGGGCTGGTGCCCAGGTGTTTACCTGTTGTATAAGTAGGTGAACAGCAAAATTGGGAGCAGAGCCAGGGTCTGTGGATTCCTGGGACGCTGCTCCTGAGCCTCAGAGCCAGACTGCACAGCCCAGGGCTGTGTCCTGTTCTGATTGCAGACTTTCTGGACTGGCCTGGCCCCAGGGTCCTGGCAGTATGACCCCAGCAGAGCTGTGATCTCATTCTGCCCTCTGTCCCAGCCTGGTCCATTTCTTGGAGGAGGGCTCGCGGGCGGGCAGGACACAGCAGGGAGACATGGCGAGTGCATGGCCCAACTTGGCCTCCCCACTCCTGCGTGGACACACTAGTCCTATAAAGCCTCACTCAGGAGCCGCACTCTGCTATTTTCAGGTCACTTTCATGTGCATTACTGATCCACAAGCAATACGAAAAGTCAGAGTTGTATCTTCATCATCACTTTTACAGTGAAGGGACTCAGACCTCAAGGTGGACTTGCAGGCCAGGTTTCTGATAGCAGGTATGGGCTTTTCCTACCTGGCTGGCTGTGTCTGTAGTGCCTATATTTCCGAGCACTTTCAATCCTTGGCTTGCCTGACTCTAGTGGCAGTGCTCCGCTACCGGAGGGGGTAGAATTGTTCCCCTAATGAGGCTGCAGGAAGCAATGCCCCTGGTCACTCACTGAGTCAGTGGCAGAACCATAGTCGGGGCAGCCGGACCCAGCTTCACACCTGCTTTTCGAGGGAAGTACAGCTTAGCCCCTGACTGAGGGGACTGGGGTGCAGCGGACCTGACAGCTGGGAGGAGCTGAGTGCTTGCGCTTGTTACCGCCTGCCCCCAGCCTGGCCACCCTGCATCACCCCAGCCTGAATCTGCATTCAGGTCCCTGGATGAGCACTGCCCAGTAGGGTCACTGTGGTGGGAAAGATGGCCTGTTCTGCGCTGTCCATCGTGGGAGCCACTGGTCCAGTGGGTTTTGAATGCTTGATGAGTGGCTAGTGAGACTGAGAAACCAAATTTTAAAATTGTTGGCTGTGGCTGGTGGCTGTCATACTGGGCAGCACAGGACTAAATGGAGACCTGGGTGAGGCTCATACAGGAAGTGACAGAGCCCAAATTTAAGCCCATGTGTGCCCAGAGGTGCCCAGCGTCAGGGGGATGCACACGAGGGGCCGCCTCAGCTGTGCTGCTCACTGGCTGTGTAACTGGTTGGTGACGCCTCTGGTGTTGGGTCCCTGTCTGTAACATAGGCAGTAATAGCTCCTACAGCACAGTGTTGGTGACTGGAGCAGAGTGGGTGAGCGGAGAGTAGGAGATAAAGTTAGAGCTTATGCAGGACCTTCTAGGTCATTTTTTAAGCGTTTGGCCAGGAGGGCTTGAGCCAACGCTGGCAGCACTGTGTAAGGAGTAAATACAGGGATAAAGGGTGGGAGCTCTGAGATTACTTGGGGGCTGGTGCAATATCTCATCGCAGCAGAATTTCATAAAAATTAAAGTGAGGCTGCCACCAAATAAGTTTCTGAGTGGCTCATTTGTCAGCCATGCAGGGAAAATGAGGATGGCTTGGACCACGGAAGTAAAGAGTGGTCGGATGCTAAAAATAGAGCAAATAGGGTTGGATGTAGGGTCTGAGGAAAGAGAGATTTGGGGTCTGAAATTGGGAGCATGAGGTTGCCAGGTGCTATGAGGGGAGAGCCATGAGAGGAAAGGTTATGGGGGAAGGTGAGGAGTTCACTTTGGGGTGCTTTGTTTGACTTGCCATTAAAATTGACGCCCAAGTAGAGCTGTCAAGTAGGCAGCTAAAGTGTGAGTCTAGAGTTGGGGGTTGAGATCACCCTGCCCAGTGTACCTATTTTGCTTCCTGAGGCCTACCTGCCATCACCAGAACTTTCCAGAAGCCCAGGCAGCAGTTTAGACCCCACCTCCTCAGCACAGGGCAGAGACCAGGCATCACAGACTGCCCTTTGTCCATCTCTGCATTCATCCATCCATTTACCCACCATGCCCTGTGCGTCTAATCTGTGTCAGACTCTGCCAGGAACTGAGAATGCAGGAATGAGTAAGGACCTCCCCTCGACAGGCTTGCATTTGGGTTGCAGATTCTCTAAACCCCCGCCCTACTGCCCACCTCCCCTGGCCTCAGTGTTTCTATCAGTTGAGTTTGGACCAGACAGTCTTTAAGAGTTCTGCTAACTTGGATCTCCCATAACCTCACCAGGCCAAGCCCTTGCTCTCCTCTGAGCTGGGTCCGGGGCAGAGCTAGGGGATGTGTCAGCTCCCAGTTCCCGTAACACCCATGTGACCAGCGCATGTGCCCTCACATCGATTTTACGGTCTTCGTGTTCCACCAAGAGGTGATTAAGTCAAGCCAGCAAGGGACGTTTGTGGTCCACAGGACTTGAGTAAGGCTTGTTTTCGAGTGGGTGATAATTGGCTATTGGAGTGTGAACAAACTTACTCTTTACACATAAACAGGCAGATCCCCACACAGTGCATATACATATACACAGTATATACACAGCGCTCAGATTTCATGGGGGTAGAGATTAGGGATATGTCTTCAAAGGCTCTTTAGGTTAGTAAAACTGGAAACAAGAACAGATTCCCAGCTTAGGGAAGGGAGCGGGGCTCAGGGCTTGGAGCACACACTCCAGTGACCACTCAGAGGCCGGGTGCTGGTGCAGGGACAGGACAGGTGAGGTCCTCACTCCCAAAGAGCCTCGGCAGGGCAGGGGTGAGAGTCAGGAGGGTCAGAGAGCCCAGGCCATGCAGGACTAGGACAGGTAGGTAGAGCTGTGGGTGAGTGCAGCCCCCTGTCCAGGGTATGGGAAGCAGATGCCTTCGTGGAGTGATTCCTTGGGTAGGTGAGGTGCAGAGCAGGTTGGAGGGAGGCTGAGAACTTCTTGCAGATCCTCGGGTCAAAATCTCACCACTGGAAAATGCATGGAATCCCCCCATTAGAACTTCACCTCAACTGGAGAGACTGTTGTTGATGGCTATCTGATAGTCACAGGAGGAGATGGGGGAGCACCTGACAGCAGGCACGGGTGGGTAACGGACTCAGGCAGGGCTGGGTTTAAGAGACAGATGTACGGGCCCTTGGTCGTCTGCTCAGCTCTCCCCTGGTAGGCCCTGGGCTGTCTGAGAGCTGCCATCTCCCCCCTTCTGGGGACATTTATAAACAGAGCACGCACTGAGGAGATGGGCTCAGGGGCAGCCGGAGACCCTGGAGACCCCGAGCCAGAAAAGGGAAGGCCCAAGGGGCTCTGGAGCTGTCTTCACAGACCTTTCAACTGTCAGAGGGATCTGCTCAGGATGAGTCGCAGCCTGGCTCCAACCCCCTGCAGTGCCTGAGATGCTGTCCTGGCAGCTTCGTTGGCCGAACGGGCCCTCCGAGATCTGACCTCTGCCAGCCTCCCGGCCTCATCACTCACGATGCCCCGTCTCACACTTCACCCCCGAGGTTATCAAACTGCCAGTACCCAGCCCCCACCCCTCACTTGCGTCCACTCAGGGCCAGTAGCAAGAACAGCTCCCGAGTGGCTACTGTGCTGGCCCCATCCTCCCTCTTTTCCTGGCCAGCCCCCGCCTGTCCGTGAAGACGTTTTAGGTGTGACTCAGATGCCACCTTTTCCGGGAAGTCCTCTGTGCCCCTTGTACCAACCCCTTCCCCAGATCCTCATTCTGCTGTGGCTGTTGCCATCCGTGTCTGCACTGCCAGCTGGGCCGGGGCGGCTGTATGGGGTGGGGGGGGTAGACAGGCCTGGCTGGTCCTCACAGCAAGGCCAGTGCCAACTCGTTGCATGTTATCCCCGTTCTGCAGGTGACGGAATGGAGTCCTGCAAGTAACGGAAATTACTGAGGTCACACAGCCACTAGGAGGTGGGGCAGCACTGGACCCAGAAGTCCAATGTCAGCCCCTGGCTGTGCTGGAAGAGGACCCCTAGGGGGCGAGGGGGTAGAGGGTTGTGAGGGCGTGGCCTCCCACATCCCAGCAGCAGGGTTTTCAGACTCAAATAATACAGCTGAGCTCTCACCTTCCCAGCCTTCCCCGTCTACACTGCCCGCAGCGGGCCCGCACGGCTCTCCAGCCTTCCCTTTCTTCCATGAGGCGAATCATGTTCTAAATTTTTATACATGGCTCTCCTTGTGGGTCTGTCGCCTCACCTACCCTGTAGGCACCCAAAGGTGGGGGGCCTGGCCTGCCTTGCTCTCTGGAGTCCAGTAGAAGTTTGCTGAAGGAGAGGACCCCTGCCCTGCACCTGGCAGGGGGTGGGCACGTGACCTGCCACCTCCCATCCCCCAGCCACCTTGGAGGGAGGAGTTACGCATGTGTTCCCCATTAGGAGGTGGGGTCCCAGAGGAACTAAGTAGCTGACTCAGGGTCACTAATCAGTGGCAGAGCCGGTGGCCTGGCTGTTGGATCCTGCAGCCTGCACAGGTGCTGTGTGGGGGAAGGGGCAGGGGCAGGAGGCGCAGAAGAGGACTCGTGGAGAAGGTGACATCTGAGTCACATCTAAAACGTCTTCAAGCCTGCACACTGGGCCACAGACAGGAGGCCCCCGCCGCATCCAGAGAGGCCCGCACGCCGGCCCAGGTCCCAGCTCGCCGTGGGGAAGCCGCTGGCTTTGTTCTTCACTGCTCGAGGTCTTGGGTACAGCAGGTGAGTTTCAGTCCTATCTGCCTCTCGGTAAGTCCCAGCAGAGCAGCCGCCTCCGTAGTGCCCATGTCCCAGCCTTCCTTTTGCTTCCTTCGGAGCTTGTCAGTGATCACGCTTCTTTAGTGGCCACAGTGGTATCCATACCCCCCCTCTTGGGGGGGCCTTGTGCCCCAGGCCAGAACGCTGGATGTTGGGACCCTCCACGCCCTGGTAGGGGCCATTTCAGCCAAATCCACCCCTCAGTTGTTAGAACTTTCTAGTGGCCCCTTCTCAGGACAGCCAAAGGGACCAGTGGCCCAGATGATGCCAGAGGCCAGGGCTCGCACCCCCAACTGTGTTCCTGAGACCTAAGTTCAAATCTTCCAGACACTCCTTTGTGGCTTTGTGATCTGGGGGTCGTTCTCCCAACTTGTGCAGCAGACGGCTTGGAGACTTGATGTCTAATGGTTCTCCCAGCTTCTAGAACAGCAGTTCCCATAGAAATAGGAGTTACGTGTCACAGAAAATTTTCTAATAGTCACAAACAAGGGTAAAAAGAAACAGGTGGAATTAGGATATTTTATTTAGTCCAGTACTCCCAAATTATTTTCCTTTCAACATATAGTCACTATAAAAGTACTAATGAGCTATTTTACCTTTTTTTCATACTGAGCCATCTCAACTCAGATTACCTACACATCAGGGGCTCGCTAGCCATGTGTCCTTATTGGACTGTGCTGGAATTCTCCTTGTCTTTCCTCTCAGTTTCCAGGAGAGCTGGGCTCCTGCTGAGGCTGGCGCTACCCTCTCCTCACCTGGCCGAGTGCCAGTGTGGATAGCAGGCAGAGGGCCTGTGACACCAAGGACTCAGCTCTCATGGCCTCCCCCTCTCCCCCAAGAAGAGGGATGTCATGGGGACAGGCCTCAAACCGGATGTCCAGTTTTTAGAATATGTGTCCTTTCAGCTTAGATTCACCTGAGCCAGGTGCGGGGTAAATCCTTTCCGTGAGTTGTCCTGTGAGGTGTGTGACGTGGACATGTGCTCTTGGTGTTCACAGAGGAGCAAGCAGGATCAGAGAGACAAGGGACTGTTGCTTCACTGTCTCTCCCTCCCTCCTTCCCAGCCAGTGTGGGGGTGGAGGGCCGGTGGGGCATGGGGCGAGGTGGAGGGTTACATGGGAAACAAGCCCCCTCCCACACAGCTGCGGATGAGGCACTAGAGTCCCTGCTTGCCATCCGCCCTGTTGCTGTGGACACTGGGTGGGGGAGGGCAGGTTCAGAGCAGGACGGTGGGATCAGGAGACAGGACACCACCCCCGGCCCCTGGACAGCCATAGCTGCTCAGGCAGGAGGAGGCTGGGGGCTGGGAGACGGCATGCTCTGCCCCGCCCAGTGCCCTGAGCCAGGCCCTCCACACCCCTCAATCTCGCCTGTCATGTTCCCCAGGGCCCCGCACCCATCAGGCCTGGCCGAGCAGACGCTGAGTAAATGTAGGTGGGCTGAGTGAGCATGTCTCAGGGTATCCCCTGCCCCTCTCCATGTTTCTCAAGTGTCTCTCCCGCTCTCCCCTCCCGCTTTTCCCTGCCCTCTGCTGTCTTCCTCGTGTCTATCTCCACCCCATCCTCCTCCCTCAGGGCTCCCTCTCTTTTGCCCTCTCCTTTGGTCGGGTGTTAGGCCTGTCAGTCAGTCTGTCTGTCTGCTCCCTCTCCCCCTCTCGCCTCTTTTCCTCCAGGTCTTCTTACCCTCCCTGCCTTTCTCTGTTGTTCTCTGGCGCTCTGTCTCCCACCGAAGCCCCAGCTCACCCTTCTCTCATCTCTTTCCCTGTCCCCTAGCCTCTGCCTCGGCATCTCTCTGTCCCTGTCTCTGTTCTGTGTCCCCCCCCCCTTCCCCGTTCACTCCTTGTCACTGTGGAAGCCTCTACTCCTGAGCTTCGGTGGAGCCCCAGCTCCTTGCAGGTCCCCGCTTCTCTTCCCTGGGAAGGCAGGCGGCTGCAGTGGCAGCCAGCGAGAGGCCCCACTGATGACAGCCGAGCCCAAGCATCCCTCGGAGCTGTCACCGCAGAAATCACACACCAGCGCCTGAAATTCAAATTAGAGTTTCGCTGAAGCTGCTAAAACTCATCAAATACTATCTTTGAAGTCCCCCAGCAAGCTGGTCACTGCTCTTAACTGAGTCCCTGTTGGAAATGAGATGGCGGGAGGGGGTGTGGGCAGAGCCACCATCCAGGGTCTAGGAGTGGGGGTCCTCTCCCTACACCCCTTCTAACGTGCCAGCCACCGGGGATGCCATTTGGGGGCTTCCTCAAGTCATGCTCACCGGGTCAGCCACCAGCACCTCCAGACCAAGATCCACACTGTTGCACGGGCTCCCGGCTCACCCAGCAGCCAGGAACCAGGGACTTGTGGAGAAGCAGCGAGAAAGAGGAAGGCATCCCGGATGGTGAGCCTGGGCCTGGGGTGGAGGCCTGGGGCCTCGCCCCTCTAGGCCGCCCCCGCAGCCCTGGATAAGAGGATTAACATGGCATGGTGCCGGTTAAACGTGCCATCGCACGAGAGGCGCGCGCCCGGCTGCTCAGCGAGCGGTCGGCGCTGTAGTAATGGTGATGGCGAAACGTGCGGTCGGTGAAGAGCCGCGTCACGGCAGATCCTTACCCCTCGGGCATTGTTCTAAGAGCTGCGTCCGTGTTAACTCATGTCGCCGTCAGAACAACCCATGTTACCCCATTTTGCCAAACGAGGTTGGAGGAATGTAGTCGCTTGCTCGGGGTTCCTCCCACTTGCCGTCTCCCCAGCCTCTCCTGGCTCCCCACAGTGTCCCCAACCCAGGCTCTGAGTTCTGCCCTCACCCTGCCCTGGGCCACCCCCCGCACATCAGTCCCCCTGGCCACCTCTGCCTGCCCTGTTGTCAGCCCCTCCCGGGAGTGGTGGCCTGTCACCATCCCTCTGCCTGCCGGGGTCACCCCCTTATGAGCCGGGCTGCCCGCTGTCTCCCACACCCTGTCCCCACCGCCAGCCTGACCTTTCCTACTGCATATAATCCTTTGGAGTTTGGTCTTGTTATAAGCTACCGCCAGGCAAGGGCAGGCAGTTTTCTGCTAAGGAACGTTAAAAGTCCTTGGGCAGGGTTCCCTTTATCTATGAAAGAACAACCCCCAGAAAGGGCAAGAGTAACTGAGACTGAGGTGGGAGACAGTCCCATGGCCTCGGGAACAGGAGAGACGGGTCTGTGGTATTGGTAAAGGTGCCAAGGAGGAATGGCTGGCCTTTGGCCTGTGGCATGGAGGTTGGAGCAGCTGACTCTGGGCTCTCCAGGACAGGCAGCCAGTGGGGGGCCTGGGTCCCCTCAGGTGCCTGCAGAGCCCAATGGGTGCTAAAATCACAAGGTGGTAGTCATAGTGTGTGCCAGAACCTGTTCACACTGACTGCCTTTGGAGCCTTGATTCGGTCAGCAAGCCTTGGCCTTGGAGGAGACGTCGCCTGGCTCTCTCAAGTCCCAGGGGTCTGGAGAAGAGAAATGTGGCCCCACAGGGACCTGCACCTGTGATCAGCTCTGTGCTGGAGGCAGCTCAGGAGGAGAACAGCCTGAGGATACATCCAGTGCAGGCGTTGGGGATCAGGGAAGGTTGACCAAGACCTGCATTTGGTTGACCTCACCAGGAGGTGGGAGAGGGCCTGGAGAAGAATGTGCCAGTTCAGTGCTTGGCCAAGGGGATCCAGAGAGACCACAGTAGAAGAAACTAGAAGAGTGAGTACTTCTTGCAATGGGGAAGTGTTAGAGTGGGGAGCTCCCCATCTAGGGAGGTAAGCAAGAGTCAGGACAGAGAATCTTGGTGGGGAATGGATGCAGAAGGCGTTCCTGCATGCGTCCTGAAAACTTAACGCTTACAGGACTTGGTGGTCATGTTCAGACTGAGCTGTCTTCCCTGGGTACCTACAGCGTGCCTGGTGCTGTGTGAACCAGTGACTGCCCTCAAGGGACGCACCCCTGGCAGAGCCTCCTCAGCCCTGAGTGCCCCGGGGCTCAGCTCCCACAGACACCAGGACACCCCCTTCCTCCATCAGCCAGGTTGGCTGGCAACCTCCCCCTGACCCCCAG